AAAAAGAAATGGCAAAAGATATATCAGAAAATAAAAAAAGAAAAATAAAAAAAAAAAATAAGAGACATTGAACCAACTGAAGCAGAGACAAGCAGGCCCGTACAAGATGAGAAAGAGAAGAATTAGTCAATAATGGAGCGGAGAAGATAAGACGAAGACAATAGGAGGGAAATATAATGACTACTCAAAAAAGAAGCACCCTTCTTGACCTCCTTATAACTATCTTATATACCCTTTGCCATCTTTTCCATCTCTTACCCGTTTCTTCGTTGTTGTTGTTTTTTGCTTCTCTGGTAGGTGGTCTAGGTTGTCTGTCTGATCATCATGGCGGATCTCAGCAGAATCGAATCCTCACAGTATCCCGCGGGCCACCTCTCCCACCTGACAGCAGCCCAGCAAGAGCAGCTGGAAATATTCAAGAAGATTGCACAAGAGCAAAAATATTATATAGCTGCAAACGGTGCGACACAAGCCAGCCATGACGACGAAACTATGCTGTACGCCTTCCCCTCTCAAGAGCTCCTTCATGGTGACAATCGCGGGGCACTGACAGCTTACCTACAGCCGCTTCCTGCGCGCCCGCCGTTTTGTCCCCCAAGAAGCTTTCAAGCAGTTTAAGAACACCGAAGACTGGCGCAAGGAGAACCGGTTGAGCGACATATTCAACAACATTGAGGTGGATGAGTACGAGCAGACGCGCCGCCTGGTACAAAGATTCCCCATTGTCATCTCCTCTCACTCAAGGCTGACAGCCTTGCACAGTACCCCCAATGGCTGGGTCGACGCGACAAGCGCGGTATCCCCCTCTTCCTCTTCGAGGTCGCGCCCTTGAACTCGAAAAATATCGCAGCATATGAAAAGGACCTCGCCAAATCAAAGACGACCATCCCCAATGTTGCCACCAAGAACGTTCGCCTATTCGCCCTGTACGAGTCGCTTACCAGATTTGTTACTCCCTTGTGCTCCATGGTCCCTCGACTTCATCCCGAGACGCCCATTTCACAGAGCAACAATATCGTGGACATCAGTGGAGTGGGCCTGAAGCAGTTTTGGAATCTGAAGGGGCACATGCAAGACGCGTCAGTTTTGGCAACAGCACATTATCCTGAGACGTTGGATAGGATATTTGTATGATTGAGCCTGCGACCGAGATCGAGAGGACGCGTGCTAACACCTGTCGCAGATTGTCGGTGCGCCGAGCTTCTTTCCCACAGTCTGGGGCTGGGTCAAGCGTTGGTTCGACCCCATCACCGTGTCCAAGATCTTCATCCTCTCCCCTGCGACTGTCTACCAGACCCTGTCACAATACATTGACCACGAAAATATTCCCAAGAAATACGGTGGGGGCCTCGATTTCGAATGTGGCTCCATGCCCAACCTTGAGCCTGCGATCGAGAAGCAAATGAGATGGGAGAACCCCAGCATGCAACATGGACGCAACACATTCCCCATTGGTCCCATCAAATGGGAAGAGGGACCCGATGGCGAAATGCAAGCATGGGGCGTAGGCAGCGAAAACGGCCAACCACGGAGGAAGCTAGTCTTTGCGATTCCCAAGCCCGTAGGCTTCGGACGAGACAACCTGCCCGCTCCACAAACACCCTCACTCCAAAAGCCCGATCCACTCGCCCTCACCACCGTCGGAACAGCAACGCACCCACCCGACGACCCAAGCCTCAACATCGACACCCCACCCTCGGACACCAGCTCGCCCCCTAACTCGACGCACAACGGCGTCACCACCAAAGATTTCACCTTGCCCGTGCGCCAGGGCGCCTCTGAGCTCCGCTACGAGCAATCAAACAACACCCACGCTGCCGGCCAACTCGACCAGGGTACCCCCAACGCCGCAATCAACGACCACGGCCACGGCGACAAGTCACTCACCATGGAACCCAACACCGTCGGCCAGGCCCCCAAGGAAAACCCCCTCCCGGAATCAGAACAGTCCCCCACCCCGGGCTACATCGGCCAGGCAAAACAGGCGGCTGCTACCGCTACCGCCACCGTGGCATCGGCGGCCGGAGCAGTAGCTGGCGCAGTGTCGGGCGCGGGTGGACAGACAGAAGCGCAGGACTCACCGAGGGAAAAGGGCGCGGAAGAAGTCAAGTTGGATCAAGCGATTGACGCGAGTAAAGACCAGGACGTTGAGGCGTACCTTAGAGCCAAGACGTCGACTTCTGGATGATGTGGATTTTGCTCGCTTTTGCTCGTTTACCTTTTTTGGCCCCGAGTGTTGGCGAGGTTTGGCGTGGAGGACTTGGCGGGGTGGGTGGGCAGGTGGCAGGTAGGTGGTAGGTATGGTAGGTTGTAGTGACTGTGAACTGGCGGCTAGGGGGACATGGGCAAACACATCTCACCATGGAAAAGTCGCAAGATGCAAATGCAGATGCAGATGCAAATGCAAATGCAAATCTAGATGCAGACGTATATGCGTGTATATACCCATTTTTATTACCCATTTGTTTAGTTTCTTGCCTTTCATTGCCGGGTTTGCCTCGTGATATTCGTAGTCTGGCTTCCTGTACAAAGGTCACGTGTTAATCGCATGTATTGTATTGTGACGAGGGTGTTGATTCGTGCAGATGCACGAGAATATATATATTATCTAGTAGTTGATACAAGGTTGTGGACATGCCTATAATCTGGGTATAATTCGCTGATGAAAACACACACACACACACACACACACACACACACACACAAAAACGCTCGGAAAACAAGGCGACAGGAAGCCCCAAAGACATATCTGTCCATGTTGAAATCGTGCAAAACGGCATGGTCCTTTGGTCGTGACATTTCCATCAAACAGCTACCTCCATCAAGGATAAGCACTCTGCTGCCCCTCCCTCTCCTTGTCCCTCCTCTCCCCAAACCGGCCCCTAACCGCCTCCAAACTAATCCTCCTCTTCCCCTTGCCCTCTTCCTCCTCCCTCTCGCTCTCACTCTCCCTCGCCTTCTTCTTCTCGACCTCGCGAATCGCCTCCTCGGTGAGTTCCTGGCGATTCATGCGCTCGACGACATCCTTTTTGCGGGTCCGCTTGTCGCCGAGCCAGATGAGGAGGCCGGCGGTGGCGTTGCAGGAGATGGAGCAGATGAGGATGACGGTGGTGATGGCAAACGGCCGGGTTTTGTAGTAGATGCCCCAGGTGCAGGCGCCGAGGGAGATTTGCAAGAGCGAGTGGCAGTCGAGGAGGACGACGATGGCGATGAGGAAGCGTAGGGGGAAAGCGTGGTGGGTTTCCGTCTCGTGGGGTTTGTAGAAGGAGTGGGATTTGCAGAATTTGCCTTGGTGGTGTTCGAGCTTGGCTTGTTGGGTTGGGGTTAGGATGGTGAACTCCCATTGTTTTTCGGGGTCTTCGGGGTCCGTGGTACGGGGTACGGTGACGGGCGCGTTGCCGGAAGGGAGGTCGTTGCGATCGCGGAGGTCGGGGAGTTGTTGCTTTTTGCGTCGCGACCAGGTGAAGTGGTGGTAGTGAGCAATATAAATCATGTGATAGGTGTCAACTGCGCGGAAGGGGGCGAGACCGTCGCCGACAATGGCGAAGAGGGCGACCAGGACGCTGTCAATGATATGAACGACGTAGATTTGCTTTCCACCGACGTTTACCCAGCCGATAAGGAACAGTACCCATGCAAGACCGAATATGGTGATCAAGGTAGCATAGAGTGTGACCAGGAAACCCAGGGCTGTTGTTGGTTAGCAGTGGTGGAGGAGGAATTCACGAGGAGAGCACTTACGTCGTCGGACATATTGTCCGAAACCCTTCATTGTACGCTTGAATTTTGATCTCCTCGAGTGCAACATGTGTCGGACATGGTCGTTGACCTCTTTCTTGTCTTCCTTGCTCCAGCCTTCCAAAGAAGTGCCATCTGGTAGCACCGCATACCGAGACTCACTGAGCTGTGAGTCGATAGTCATCAATGTAGCAGTGGTGCCTTCTGTCTCGGTCCGCCTCAATTTAGGGCCAGCGGGGGGTTCCGGTGGAGGAGTTTGCGCCGCTGTCATCATCCGCTCGATCTCTTCCGTTTCACTGTCGTGGCGGCGTAGGTTGTAAGTAGGTCGACGGTTCAGGAACGGTAGGTTGGGAACGAATAGGGAGTTCTGCATGTTGGTAAGAGAGGTCAAAGTTGCCACCTCCGGGTCTGTATAGATTAGCATACGGTTGAAATCTTTGAGCGTGGTCTTCCCTACCGATCGTGTCCAGCACGTCCACCATGTCCGACGTATAATTCATAGACATGTTATCATCTTGTTCTCCAGTAGTGCCATCTGTGCCTGTGCTCTTTCCCTTTTCCCTGCTTCCCCAAAACGGTATCTTCATCTGCAGAGCACTCTTTGCTTTGCCCAATCTGCTACGCTCTGGTTCAGGATCGGTAAGTGTCGACTCGCTTCCCTGGTTGGATCGGGCCTCTCCGAAAGCGTGATCTTCGTCCAGCGCTGGCAAAGTACTCAGACGGTTCGTTGATGCATTATTCGACTGTTGTGCTATTTGTCGGAGGGCATTGGAGGCGGGTTGCCTCCGAATTCCTATACTAGCTTGTCGCATACCTACAGCTGGCCGACGTTGAGGGGCCGAATTGCTCCTCGCTCTTGCGGCGGAGAGTGTACTAGTCTGCGTTAGAGTCACGATTTCTTTCTTGATAACATGTCCAAACATACCTGTGTGATACCAGCGAAGAAGGATCTCCATAACGGGAAGGTTTTGGAACGTGTGCATTAGCATCGACGGAAGATTGCAAAGAAGTCGGCGGTTCAAGTATGGGGCCTTGTTGTCGGCCTGAATCCGCTGGCAAATTGTTTGACGGGGCAAAGTCGCGGGCAGCTGTGCCAGCCTGAGGACCCAAAAAACCCTCATTGACAGCAACCGTGCTTGAATTCTCGTGTGGTGCCTGTGTAGAATGCGGCACGTGAAGCGCCCCAGATCCGTTTCCTGAAGAAGTCGCCTCAGCCAGTCTGTTACGGGCGGAACGCGTCTTTGACCTGAGCTTGTCCATAGCGGCCGCGATATCGAGAGATGGGAAGCAAGCTTTACAAGCAATTCAAGATGAACAACATGCTTTAATGAGCTGGAGACGGCGCCCTGCCGGAAACAGCTGGCGGCTGGGCTGCGAATCCTTAACTTGAAAATTGGCTGGGCGGTGACCTCATAGGTAATGCGCCAAAACACCATGGCCCCCCCCCCCTTTCCTTTGTCGGGGAGGGATTGCAACGCCAGCGCACAGGAAGCATCCGCCTGCTGGAGAAAGTTTGCGCCGTGTGGAAAAAAAGTAAGTTATGGGTACCTATGGGAAAGCTTGAAGCAGCGTACCGTCAAAAATCCAATCCTTCATTCTCGGCTGCATTGATATGAAACTCAAGCAACTTACCGGTACCTAGTCTGTTCACCCAGGGTCTAGAGTATGTATGTACTCCTAGGCGCCAGACCCAGTGCCTACCTATGACATGTGTCCAACATGAGATCGTGAACCTGGCACCCTTGCCTCGATCGCCTCGCTTACCAGCAGATCCTCGCCTGGCGTTTTGCGAGTGGTGAGTTGGTGTATGCACGTTGACGCAATACCTAACTGGCCTTGTCTCCAGTCTCACCGACTTGCTCCACTTACCATGGGGGGGGGGCACGCAAGATAGTCACAACATTCCATGTTTCCGCTGGACAACCAAGTGGAGCGACTTTTCATTTGTTATTTCAGATGCAGACACGGTCTTTTACTTCCCAACAACCGTTGACGGCGCAGACGACTTACCGCCGCTAACGGTTACCCAGGGCTCTTGCGAGTGTAACAAGTCGCGTCAAACATCAACACCACGCCAATCACGTGTATTTAGCGCACAGTACTCCATTCATATAACAATGACTACCGTATAAGCGCAGGATTTGAAGTATGCAAATTAAAAAAAAAGGTTTCATGATATAGTCTACTCCTATCAGGTAGGTCGTAGTCCAGTCATACACAAAGCGAATGAATGTTTTGAATATCGTACCGGTACAGCACATTCTTCCTCCCCTTCACGCCCCTCCGATGGCGCAACCGTCTTCCTCCATTCCTCAAACACCGCTTGGATTGCCCATTCACCTAGTCACCATGCTTCGGGCGATACCCCACTTCTCAGTATTCGGGTTCATAGAGCGAACGAGTAGAACAGCTCGGGGCTCTTATTTATTTAGTTTGGGGGAAAATCCCCCATTGTTTTACACGTTTGGGTCAGCTCCTCTAAAATTTGGCTATTAAAGAAAATGGAAACGGGAGTAGGAAGACGTGATCGAGGGTAGGGGTAGGGCAAATCTTGCACTAACGTGGGATAGGCTCTTTTTCATCGCTATCTCTAACAGAGTCTTCCAAGGGCGTGACTTGTAATATATTTGGTAATAAACATCCGAAGCAGACTTAGAAGGGCAATAGGATACTGACATGATATTCGAACACACGGGTTCCTGGAGGAGACTTGTTCACGCAATGCGAACTGAACCTAGCCCAGGTGAAAATTTACAGCACCTGACGAAAGGAACACCATCTGCATTAACCCAGAAATCCTTGAGTTCGCATCCTACATCTCTCTAACCCACTCCCTTACGACCTAACAACCTGCGGCACAAGCTCAACCCAATACCCCTATATACAATTAGTCAGCCACTCCCTACGCCTTTCTCCCATCACCCACCCAAAAAAAAACAAGACTTACATCCGGATCCCTCACAAACGCCAACTGCTCAAACACAGCCTTATACCCCCCCGCCACCGCCCCAAACCGACCCTCCACCACATCCCCAGGCAACCCCATCTGCCCGACCTCCGCCTCCCCTAACGGCTTCACAACCTCGAACCCAAACCTCTTGACCCGCTCCAGTGTCTCGGCAACATCAGGCACCGTGAAGCCAATATGTCCGAACCCGACACCGGGTCTGCCGTAGTCATTACCAGAAACATAGGGCGTCTCGGCGTCGGCGGGGACGTGGTAGAGTTCGAGGAGGCCTTTTGAGGTACCGAGGACAGATATGTCCACGTCGCGCGGACCGAGGTAGTATATTGTCCATGGGCCGGCGTTGAAGATGAAGATGACGTGCTGTGTGGGAGAAGAATAAAGGAAGACGTTTCAGTTCTTCTGGAAAGAGAATTGGGGAGGGGAGGGGAGGGGCAAGGAAGGATAAAGTGGAATAATACATCACATATGCATGTGTCCAAGTAAATGACAAACTCACCATGCCCATGCAATCGCAATAAAACTCCAAACTCTTGTTTGGATCTTTGACACGCACCATCAGGTGGTTGAGACGGTACTCGGCCGTCGCGGGGGAACTGGGTCGGGGCGGAGGGATGATGTGTTTCCCGGCTTCATACGGACCTGAGGGCTGGTTGGGATTCGAGATAGACATGCTTGTTAGTAAAAGAGGTGTTTGTGTTATACATCCAGGAAGAGGCCGTCCCTAATATATCCCAGCCACAGGCCAATTGAAGCTAGTCACCATGGGACTTCGAATGGAGAGCGCATGTGGGGCATGCGGGGTAAGTCTGTACAGGAAATGGGGATGTGGTGCGGTGAGTGCCTGTTACCACGTGCCTCTGCAACCTCTGTAAGTGCCTCTGTAAAGTTCACAATGGCTGTCATAAACACCGAAATTGCGTTGCCTTTGATGATGATTTCAACACTCATATTATGACCTTTGGGAGGGCACTGAACCAGACAATCTCCTGCAAGCGCCCCTGTCGGTAGAGCCATCAATCTCTCTACTCCTCGAATCCTTTCTCGTACCTACTACCTCATGCGCCATTTCTCATGCATATACACTTTTGTTTGACCTCATTCAGACCTTGTTTTCAATTCTGCGCTCATCTCTCAATTGCACGAGCTTCTTGACAGCCTCGTCGAGTGGCACAATCTCACCACGCTGTTGTGTCTCCTGATCATCCCGGTTCCTCCAGTTGACGGCTCTTGCCTTTTGCTCTTCCGCACCCACAACCATGATGAAGTTGTACAGTGACAGTTGCGCTGTGCGGATCTTCTTTTGCATAGTATTTCCGCTAATGTCAATGTCAGCATGGAGGTGGTGCTTGCGAAGCTCGGCTTGGACCTCCTTGACGTAGTCGTTGGCCGAAGGCATGACAGGAATGACCATGACTTGGCGAGGAGAGAGCCAGAATGGCCAGCGGCCAGCAAAGTGCTCTGTGAGAATGCTATAGGTTGTTAGCAAGTGGTACTGTACATGAAAGGAATGACCTACGCAATGAACCGCTCAAACGACCCGTAAATAGCACGATGAATCATGACTGGACGTGCATAACCTGGCTGCGGTGGTCGGATTTCCTTTGGAATGGCGACCTGGCCTCCCAAATTGTCCTTCTTCTGGTCGATGTGATCTTTCTCCTTTGGCTGCTCGGCCTTCTTTTCAACCTTTTGCTGTTCCGCCTTGACCTTCTCCTCTTTAGGCTTGGTAGCAGCACCTTCTGAAGTCATGTACTCGAGCTCAAACTGATTTGGTAGCTGGAAGTCGAGTTGGATAGTGGCACACTGAAACTCTCGCTTCAATGCGTCGGAGATTGTGATGTCAATCTTTGGTCCATAGAAGGCGCCATCGCCGGGATTCAGCTCCCATGCTCCACCACCTCCAGCAGTGAACTCGTCAAGTGCTTGAGTCAACTTCGCCTCCGCCTGGTTCCATGTGTCGATATCGCCAAGGAAACCTTCCGGACGTGTACTCAGCTTCAGCTTGAAAGTGAAACCGAACTTGCCATAGACCGCCTTGAGGAAATCGAAGAGAGCCAGAATCTCCTCATTGATCTGGTCTTGTGTGCAGAAAACGTGGGTGTCGTCTTGTTGGAACCGACGCACTCGTGTGAGACCCGTAAGAGCACCACTAGCTTCATTTCGGTGCAAGATACCAAAGTCAGCCATGCGAATGGGCAGCTCGCGGTAACTTCTTTCGCGATGCTTGAAAATAAGACAGTGACCAGGGCAATTCATAGGCTTCAACGCCCACTTCTCTTTCTCGACATCGAATGTAAACATATCATCAGCGTAATGCTGCCAATGACCGGAGATCTTCCAAAGCGCAGAGTTATACATGTTTGGCGATCCAACCTCTTGATAGCCGCGATTCCAGTACTCTTCGCGAAGGAATGCTTGTAACGTGTTGTATATAATCTGGCCATGTGGGAGGAAGAAACAAGAGCCAGGACTAAACTCGTGAAAGAAAAACAGCTCCTGATCTTTTCCAATCTTCCGGTGATCACGCTTCGCAGCCTCTTCTAGGAACTTGAGATGTGCCTGCATAGCATCTTTATCGGGGAATGAAACACCATAGATGCGTTGCAGGCTGTCATTGGCAGCGTCACCGAGGAAGTAAGAAGCCGAGTTCTTCATGATTTTAAACTGCTTTATCCTTCCGGTGTGAGGTACGTGTGGTCCACGGCATAAGTCGATGAGAGGTCCATTTCGATATACGGTGGTGAAGGTGCCGTCAGGGATCTTGTCCTTGATGATGTGTTGCTTGTATTTGTTTGACTTGAACATCTCTAACCTACATTCTATAGTTAGTCGTAGTATCACTCACACCGATTCAGGACTCGTACAGATCATGTTTGGACAGCGTAAGCCTTTGGAAAACCTGCTTCTCCTTAACAATGCTGTTGACAATCGTCTCAAGAGGCTTGTGATCCGACTGCTCTACAGCAGCACCGTCGGGAAGGGCCATCTGCAACACTGTTAGCGGGGTTCGTGGCCAAAGGGACTCTTCACAAACCTCGTAGTAGAAGCCATCCTCGATAGGAGGGCCGATGCACAGGTCACAGCCATATCTCCGTTCTGAGGCCTCTCCTAAGATATGCGCACTGGAGTGCCAGAAGACTTTCTTTCCCTCTGGGTGGTCGAACGGCAGGAGCTCAAGCTTGCAGCTCTTCTCAAGGGGTCTCTCAAGATCCCAGAGTGTCTCCTCAGGCGTGCCCTTGTCGAGACGGGCGACAACAGTTCGCTCAAACAAGCTCTTGCTGATGTTGCGCGCAATTTCGGCTGGACTGGTCTCCCAAGACTTGCCTTGGATTATCTTTCCATCCTCAAGTGTGATGCTTATGTCCTCTGTGCAAGTCGATGCAAGTCAGCGAATGTCGAGAGTGGGAGAGTAACAGATAGATGGTAGTAGAGCGTACCGCGCGGCTTTTGTGCGATCTCCTCGTCGTATTTGGCCTTCAACTTATCGCTGAGAATGCATCAGCGAATCGAAGTGGGACATGCACTCCTTCTTGACCTACAAGATCTGAATTCGGTGGTCGATATATGCTGGTGCTGGCTCGAGCATCAACGGGCGGCCGTCCCCGCTTTCTCCCTTTGGCTTCTTCTCTTTCTTAGGCTTGGGAGCCTTTTGTTCGGCGGAAACTGCGAGATTCTTCACCCCCTCCGCCGCCTGATTGAGAATATCTTTGACTGCGTCCGCCATGGTTGCTGTTTATTCGTCAAGTCAGAAGCGATGTCGAGTGGTTGTGAGTCAATCCCTAGTTATCTCAAGGGCTGAGGCATGGGATGGGATGTCGTACGGACCAATTACTTATGGACTGACCACTGCGTGATGCTAGAGTGACGGATCGCCGAGCTATTGCAGTGTTTTAGCAGTCTCTCTGTAGCCACAGGCGCAGTCACAAATTCAAGTGTCTTCATGCGCAGTGACAGCCCACCTTGGGGCTTGGCGGTACACTTGGTGGGGGTTGCGGCGGAAGGTAGGGTCGGTGAAACGTGGCACCGATTGGCTGCGCCTCGTTCCCAACTCCATTTTCCATTTGAACTTTTCTCGAAGCTCTTGAAGCAGAGCTCGACCATTTCGCGCACCCATTGCACACCCCGCACCGTAGACGACATGGCATTCCGCGGCACACCAAGAGGAGGACGGGGCGGCTTTTCTGGCGGCAGGGGCGGTTTTACCCCCCGTGGAGGTGCGTTGAGCCCTGCTCGAAGCTCTGCCGTGCTCTCAGCTAATCATTCACAGGACGCGGCGGTGGCATGGGAGCTTCATTTGGTCCTCCTGACCAGGTCTTTGGTATGCGCGCTGCTGCAGGACCATGTTGCGATCGCTGACCCAGCTCAGAGATGGGCAAATTCGTGCACGATGTCGAGAACGAGATGTTCTGCGAGTCGATAAATACAAAGATCCCCTACTTCAACGCGCCCATCTACCTCGAGAACAAGGTACATAAAATCTACACGTGGATCGAGAGGTGTCGAAGCTCATTCAAGCACAGACTCCCATTGGCAAAGTCGACGAGATCCTCGGTCCTCTCAACTCGGTATACTTCACCATTAAGCCGCAAGAAGGCATACAAGCAAAGTCATTCAAGGCTGGCGATAAGTTCTACATTGGCGGTGACAAGCTTTTGCCCATTGACAGGTAGGTTGCCGATTTCCAAAGCAAGCATCGATGCGCTAACAAGTGCAGATTCCTACCCAAGCCCAAGCCGGTCGGTGGCGCCGCGAGGGTCAAGAAGCCCGCTGGCGCTGGTGGTCGCGGAGCACCACGAGGAGGATCCCGCGGCTTTGGCGGTCGCGGTCGTGGCGCACCCCGTGGACGTGGTGGGCCTCCTGGACGCGGTGGATCGCGAGGAGGGTTTAGCCGTGGAGGAGGCGGTGGTGGTTTCTCAAGAGGCGGACGTGGTGGTGGTGGCAGCTTTGGTGGTGGACGTGGTCGAGGAGGCTACTAGGTGTTTGAGAACTGGAACGGTCTCTATCGGCAATGACGAGAGCGGCTGGAATTCGGTCTTTGTCGCAGTATCATTTCGGTCATACGATACCTACCGATACCATGATTACGGCGTTTGGGTGCTTGGAAAGGTCTTTTTGTTCAATTCGAACCTATGGCGCCATATTACGGGCATTTTGAGACGGGTTCGCTGTCGTCGGTTCTTGTTAAATCAATTTTGAAACTGCAAAAGTACAGCCAATTTATGACCTGCGCATTGCAGGGCAGACATAGGCACGGACTGCATGGCTTGGTCATGTCAACGAATGAACATATTCACAACATACAACGGAACGAAACAAAACGAAAAGATTACAATATGCAAATGGTCGTGTTTCGCCAAGTCTGACACGCTGAAGCCTGTTCCTCTGCATGTCGTAAACGAAGCCCTGCTTCGAAGAATAGATAGTACATCCATCTAGTCTTCGCCCAAGACAGCGACGCAGAGCCGCATCCAACCCAACCTCCCTCCTTTGTCTTGAGCCAACCACGCATTGCATAGAACCCAACTAATCACGGTTCTTCTCGCGCGACATAGCCGCAAAAACCCAAAGTATAGCCGCAAAAACCCACTTTGGCGATCTTGGCAACTCACATGGGAGCAGCTGCAAGCCCCGGGCCCCAGTCGCATAAGAGGGACTGGCATGGGAAGATGACGTTCTCGCCAAACTTGAATTCCGGGCTCGCACGTCACCAAACCCAACGCTTGCCTTTTCCCTGTCAGCCAGCACCGCCCACCGACAAAAAGCAGTGCACGGCTCTATACCTGAAAAGCTTACCTATCCATCTATCTCATCGTTTCCCTGCCCTGTTGTTGCCGTACACAATACATTTACCTTCGCATTCCTAACTCCACCGCTCAGGCGCAAGGAGCAGTAAGGCAACCATGTCACAACGAAGAAACGGCGCGCCCGAGGGTGCGAAGGAGGCCAAGGGCGATGGCAAGGAGCTCAAGGGTAGGGTTTTTTTTTGCATGCTCTCAGACGAACGATGGAAGGGTCCTAGAAAGTCTAACATGAAACGTAGTATCCGACAAGCAAGTCAAACTGCTCTCCCAAGACGCCGGCCACTTTTCTCTCGTGCGCGCGCTGCACCTTGCAGACTTTATTACTGAGCTCAATGGTGCGTCGAATTCCCCCACCGACGCCTTTTTTTCTGTATTTGAATCCATCACCCCTTCTAGCCAGCAAGTCATACATTACATGCTCGACGCAATGCTGGATCGGAGTGGATGCGAATAAAGGCACGGCAAGAAGGCAAGCTAATACATGAAAACTAGGCTTCTGTGGTATCATGTCGGTCATGTCGTCGCTCCGCTACTGCACCCAAGACAACCCGCACAACTATACGAATCTCTACTGGGCCCTAGGCTTCATCCCGCTCGGTCTCTTCTTCGACTTCATGGACGGCAAGGTCGCGAGGTGGAGGAAGAAGGCCAGTCTCATGGGCCAGGAACTAGACTCTTTGGCTGATCTCGTACGTCCCCTACTCCCCTTTCCACCCTTTCCACCCTCTCCATCACGCACATCCCCCACCACCAATCGCTAACAACAAATTTCCATAACAGGTATCCTTTGGCGTATCCCCCGCAGCCGCAGCCTTCTGCCTCGGCCTGCGCACCCCAATCGACCACCTTCTCCTCTCCTTCTTCGTCCTCTGCGGCCTCACCCGCCTCGCCCGCTTCAACGTCACCGTCGCCATGGTGCCCAAGGACAGCACCGGCAAATCTCAATACTTTGAAGGCACCCCGATTCCCATGTCCCTGCTCATGGTCCAGGTCATGGCCTACTGGGTCTACAAGGGCTGGGTGCTCGAACAGGTTCCCCTTGGTCTTTGGCTGCAGGGTACGCCGTTTGAGTTTCATCCCGTTGTCGCCATGTTTGTCCTGCATGGCTGTCTGATGGTTAGCAAGACGATTCATATTCCTAAGCCGTAGAGGGAGGTGGAGGGAGTTTTTTTCTTCTCTTCTTCTCCTGCTTGGCGCGGCTTGAGGGAGGCGGGAATTGATGTGGATGTGCATTGGGATGAGGTCGGAACATGGACTGGATGGAACAAGAGGAAGGGTATACGAAGCATGCCCGTCCTTGATTGTTATTGGATTATGACGAGCCGATAGTGAGAGCGATCAACAGGCGCTCCTCAAAACAGAACTTAATGATGATACCCTATTATCAGCCCGAACCAGAGTCGGATTTTGCAGAAAGCAGTGTCAATACAGTCGCCTCTCTCATATATGATTACAAGACCCCACTGTGAGGTATACGTCTATTCAATTGTTGCTATGCTACGGCAAGATGAGTACCATTGCCAATGATTTCTGATTCCATGTGCTTCCTTTCATCCATTGAAATCGTACAGAGTAGTTCGACCCCCAGCAAAAACGGGGCATCTACCTGCGAGGCCCGGTCCATGTACGGATCCATGGATGACGGCACCTTTGAATAAAAAAGAACAATCGGATTGGGTCACACGAGTCGATATCCCATGTCAAACGTTTTCTCTGAGCGGCGTAGTGTATTTGCAGCATTCAAGGGTTCTGCAAGCACTGCTCTTTTGACATGTCTGCATCGTAATGATGATCCAAGCACGGCTCTTCAGGTACGGATCCCTTTGAGTGCTCTTTGGTGGATGACGTTCAAGATAGAATCGTAGGGCATTCGAACGGTGCACGTCGGTGCATTGGTCCAGCATCTCGTAGTGTTGACCGGGAAAAGTGAGTTGGATGGTTGCGGCGGGGGAGGTTGTCAACGGGTGATGATCAAGGCAAAGCCATCGAGCCATTGAGCGCAAGAGCCTGACAGGCCACCAATAGTGTAACCGCGAGGAGGCACCAGAGTATGTCTGGACGAGTTAGCTCATGGGCGGTCGGATCTTACAGTGGCATCAACTTACCCACTACCACCATTGGCGTTGCCATACCAATCGCTCTTCCTGCCTAGATTAGTCAATATTTGTATGCCATCAATCCAGAGCCCTGCACGAAGAGCAAATCCCAACAATAGCTCGCCCTTTCGTGTATCCAGGTGGAATACAGAAGTGCTACCTCCTCGCCTGCCGAAGAGCTGACTTGTTGTATCTTCGTAGAAGAACTCGAGGCCGTCTACCGCAAAGCCGTGGTAAATTTTGATAGTAAGGAGAAGCTTCGTTTGAATGTAGGCACTCTCAAGTATCATCTCCTGTGGTTCAGAGCCTTGCATTTGAGAATACCCCAATTTGCTTCCGCGGTAGCCCCATCGGCCATCTGGTAGCTTCACACGCGCCAGCTTCTGGTTTGCAAGTCGACCAAAGTCTTCAATGACGTGTGAGCTTCCACCCGCAGAATAGACTTGAATCTTCAGTCGTGTCTTTTGTTTCTCCCTAGGCAACATGGCTCGGATGGCACCCTCTTCGAGCGTGATTTGTGTGGGACATGGCTTCTCTGGTCCCAGATACTCTTGCCAGTAGTGACATTCACCATCTCCTTCAGGATACAGCTCGATCCAAGCAATGCCAGACCTTGACGTTGCAATGACTCCGCCTTGCCCGCTATCGACCGTCCACACCTGCACACTCCCGTCTCCATTAATTTCGGGATTGTCAAGTGGAAGTCGGAAGCATGGGTGGAACCGGAAACGTAACACATCTAGTCTGTGCCACCCGCATTCATCGCTTGGTAATATCAGGCGCTGACCCGGTGATTTTGTGCGCGTCGCATACGGTTCACGACAGACAAACGTGCGGTTCAGCGTAACGTAGTCGCGTAGCATGACGCCAGACTCCTGATGAGGACAGCCGAACAAATGACCTACCTCGTGCATGTGGGCACCGATGCCTATATTGGCCGCCTCCCAGTTACTACCGGACTCGTTGCAGTCGTTGGCAACAAAAGCCGTGTCTGTTCGTGTGCAGTCAGTGAAAGCCGGATGCACTTCCTCAATGCACGCAGGATAGCTGTGCAATGCGTGCGAGCCGAAGATGGCCAGTTGCAGATTTCCATCTCCACCACCCAGTGCCGCGTGGCCTCGAATCGTCTTCACCGAGGTATCCCATTGTGTGTCAAGGAACATGCAGGCAACATAGCGTTTTTGCCCTGGCTGAATTCTGAAGTAACTATTGCAATTCTCCAGAGCAAATGCGAATAATTCGCCCTTTCTTGTTGCTGGTCCATGTTGTTGAGCCACTTCCAGATCCCTGATTTCGGCAACCGTCTTATTCGAGCGAATAATGTGTACCTTGGCCTGGGTCCGATGCTGCTTGGTCGCCCAGTCGGCATTGCTCAGCGTCCCAGGCTCCCAGCAATCTTCGAAGCGGAAGCAACGTCGAATGAAACCATGCCGATTCATTTGCTCGCCCATGAATGCTTGCCAGAGGTAGGCAGACATGCGGTACTTCTTGACAGCCACGTCCAAATTATTTCCTTCTCGCTGTACACGTTCGGGTGGCGCGTCGTATGTGGCTTCCGAGTCACTGCCGAGGATGATGGCGAGTTGCAATGGTGGGTTCTGCGTGAGTGGCAGGTAGTTGATCACCACGGTGGTAGCGTGTGAGGGAATAGATGTGTTGGGCATTGAGATCTTGGGCGAACTGAAGTCTAGACGAAGTCGGTTACAGCCAGGCTCCAGATGCACCAAGACTTTAAAAAAGGAATCATGCACTGGCCAATGAGTAGACGGGAAGCGGCCGAGATGGTGATTAACCGTGATCGTGCCGTCGAGAGGTCTTGCATGGGCTTCGCCAATCTGTCCAGAGATGAGCAGAAGTTGTTGGTTGACCTGGAGCGTGATTAGCACTGTGTATGGCACCCAAGCAGGACCACGAACCCATGTGTTATCCGAAATCGAAGTCACGCGTGGTGTGAGTAGCGAAGCCTTGTTAAGGGAGCCATTGGGAGAAGTGGGCGAGGACAGGCCCTGCATGTCAACAAAGTCAGTTACACCAGCGATCCAATAGCACTTTGTCGACTTACACTCATGCTGTAGCGCTTCACAGGATCGACACTAGGACGTTGTGGACGAGTGGGGAGCGGAGTAGGCCCATTGTGATGCTCGTTTGGGTGTGTGGAAACATCTTCGGTCGTCGATGTGGCTGGAGTGGTCGAGGGTGAAGGTGTTCCGACCTGAGAGGAGTTCAGAGTAGAAGCAGAAGTATGATGCGCCAGGGCATTGCCATTGTGGGCGTTGTGGCCATTGTGCGGGTGCTGGGGAACTGGAGGAGGTGCTTCGGCGGATTGATCAGTTGCGCAAGCATTGGAGCGACGACTGCTGTGTCTGCGCAACTTTGCGAGGAAGGCCGGCATGGCGAAAAGCGAGGAATGCGACGCTAGTAAGCTAAGGAAGCTTCAGCAACATGGGCGTAACGAGCGACTGGACTGCAGGTGGGCGAGTGATGGGGATCCTAGAGAAGTAGCGCAGATGACGCGTAATGCAGCGAAAGGGACAATGATGTGCGAGCACAGGCACATGGGCTGGGGCAATGTTGTTAATAGCTGTATGGACTATGCTGGCAAAGAGAAAACGAGTGACGCCAGAAGCTGCTGCATGTGGGTTGCTGAGGAGGAGGAGGAGGAGGTGAGGAGAAGAGGAGGGAGGGGGGAGGAGAAGAAAGAGAAGGAATAGCAGAGGGAAAAGAGACGAGTGGCAAGAGATGCAAGAGGATGCAAGAAGGGAATGTGAGGGCAATGCAGATGGCAGCCGTGGTGAAGGCTTCAGCCAGAGGTTGCATGCGAGAGAGAATCAAGGGCAAGGAGTCTAGCAGGACGGAGAAATGGCAGTGGCAGTGGCAGTGGCAGTGACAGCAAGGTGCAGCGACCTTGAGCGTGACCAGGGAGCCAGCTGTTGAGCGTGCCGTCCCGTCGCGATTGCCTGGAGACAAAGTAGGCGTGGGAGGAGGGCGCATGCAAACGGAAGCTGTCGCGCCTTGCCCGTGCAAAGCAATGACGTTGTGTTCTTTGGGGGGGGGGTTGTTGCCAAGGGGCGGGCGGGTGGAGGACCGGACGGGGTGTGGCGCAAACAATGCATCTTGCATCTGCATCTGCATCTGCATGTTACCGGGATAGAGTGTGTACAAAGTTAGTACAAAGTGGATATCATCTTGCGTAACGGTCATCTACATGTAGGAGTATACAAGCTACAGCGTTGGTCGAGGATGGGGTTGGAACACTGTAGCCTGTCTTCGGCGACAACTTGTACGCTGCTGTCCAGGTAGCTGTATATGTACTGGAGTAAATCAGAGAGGAGAATCAGCACATAGCTTTAGTACGCCCCTCATGTGCTAATGCTGAGCGTCCAAGTCCTCGCCCATGTATAGTGTATTGGCCAAGGTGGTTATGATGTGAATCTTGCTGCATGGTGGGCACGTCTAGGGCGTAACATAGAGTAGGTATGGATGGAAATAGTAAGCAGGCACGTGATGCAATCTTACCATACAACATTTCAATGCATGGATACCTTTCCACACCTTGTCGCTCGCCAAAGCTTCCACACAGTTTGCTCGTCGCACCGCAAGCCTCTAGCCGACAGCCCGCCACGACCACAGCCCGGCCTCTCCTATTACCTTACAACATACATCCCATATTGTGCCACACCCTCTTATCAAGACACACAATGCTATGATTGCTGCCCTTGACCTGGGCCCAGTCTGTCTGCCTGCCTGTCTGTCTGCCTGCCTGCCTGCCTGCCTGCCTGCCTGCCTGCCTGCCTGCCTGCCTGCCTGCCTGCCTGTCTGCCTCCATCAACTCCCAGACCATGTACAGTAATGTACAATGCTAGGTGGGTTACTTGGATCAATCTATCATGGTAGCATGCTACATCGGTTCTAGCTGGGTGAACTGTAACTAGGCAGCTCCAGCTCCCTTAGCAAGCCTGCAGTCTCCCACTAAGGCCAATCGGGCCTGTGCTTGCCAACCCTACAAGGGCTAGCCCCCTTCGATGCTCTCTCTCTCTCTCCTCACATTCCTTGCCGACTCTGTCTACCTCAGGACCTCAGCTCAGCCGTCTCTGCTGTCTCGCCCTCCTCCACATTGTTCTCGCCACTCGTTCTGCCACTGTCACTGCTACACTTGCACCTGCAACCCTCTGCCCCCCACCTTCCCTTCCCCTTCTGCTCTCTGCCTTGCAACCCTCCCTCCCGTCTCTCGACCACACTCGAACCATGACGGAGCAGGATGAAGTTGCAAGCAGAGTGCTCCGCCGGGCCCAGGTGTCAAAAGTCAGTTCTCCCTGTGCCTTCCGGGCAGCGGCCCCCCTCGGCCAATGCACAAAGCACAGCTCGCTAACAAAGATGTGCTGTAGATGACACGCACGCTGCAGAACCGTCTGGCGTTGGCCAATGTCAAGATCAAGAATGGCTGGGAGAGCCTCAGTCTGGACGCCATCGAGCCCGTCGTCGATGTCGAGCTCAAACGCAAACGTCCAGGCTCCAGCAACGAGACCATGTCTGAGGCATCCAGCGTCTCTGAGCGCTTCTACCAGCCCAGCGTCCTCGACTCATCACCGCTCGCTGCCCCCATCTTCTCCGACGACCTTCGACGCTCGCTGAGCCGCTCGGGCAGCAGTCACAGCCAGAATAAGCGGCCTCGTTTCGACCGCTCGAGATGCCCTGCATCCAGCAACCACAGACGCACCAAGGTCAGGACTTCCACTACAGCCGCCACATCGTGGAAAAACAGCTTTCAGCTGCCAGAGTCGTCGCCTGTATACCATCGCCGCCACGCTCGTTTTGGCCGCCAACATGTGCCCAGCCTGTCGTTTGTCTCCGAGACGTCCACCGTCGCCGACGGTCACTCCCCGCTGCTCTCCGAAGACGATGACGAAGACCTTCCCATCACCTCGTTTGCCATGAACAAGTCCTTTTCGATGAGCAAGCCAAACTTTCAATCGTCACCGCCACGCGCACCACGCACACCCCCTCCCGATGTCGCTCGCTCAGCACGACTACGCCAACGCGGCTTTACTGCGGCCGGTGCAGCACGGGAAGGGAAGACTGGTGACGACGATGCAAACCTGCTCATGTATCTGGCTACATCGCCGACACCTGTCCGCGCTGGCACGTCAAAGACACAGAGAATGGCTCCGTCTACCCCTCCCCCCAAGGCCACTCCTCTTCCGTCATCGATGATGGGCACACCCGGTGGCGGAGGCCCCTTTCCAGGATTCGGCCTAACAACCCCATCCGCGAATCTAAACTTTGCCGAGTTCCTGAACATGACACCCAGCCCAGCTCAAGCCAACAATGCATCATGGAATAGGACACCTGTTGTCAGCAGAACACCCGCTGCCGTTCGAGAGGCTAGGCGCCATTTGAACTTTGACAGCATCGTCCCACCAAGTGCAGACAGTGTCCACATGGGTGCAAGAATTGGCAAGGTGGACGGCCTTGGCATGGAGCTGGGGGGTGAGCTCGTATCATGATCAGGCCTTGTCTTACACCAAGTCGTCCACACATCACCAATCCGGGAGAACGGATACGAATGACGACCATGCAATGACACACGGCAGCGCAGTCGATGCAACACAGCCATAATTAATACCAAAACGGGTAGATTTACGCCGTTCCCTTTTTTCTTTGTTCCACGGTCCAAAAGCATGGCGTCATGAAGGGTCCCCCTTGGATACCATTGTTCATGCTGTTGGGCAAGCTGGCCTGCAGCCATCTATTGTTGGAAAAAACTGGATGGCAACCAATTGCTCCACAACCGTTATGCTCGTCCCGCGACGGCAAGACTGAGCTAGCGATCCGGGAACCGCTTTGTGCCACACACACCTTCACCATACCCCTATGCGACCATTTCTTCAGCGATATGTAATTTAAGTTTTTCCTTTTTTTCCCTTGCTACATGGCATGCCATAGCACAGCACATGACCGCTGAACAGGGTCTTTTTCTTCTCTCCCATACGTCCAAAATGACGCAGCGATATAGAATGGGCACGCGCATTGTCGCGTCTTTGTGCAAAAGGAACGACGTCCGTATGACAGGTTTTTGCATCACCTCCTCACTGGATAGACGAGGCAGGGCAGAAGAATCAAATGCATCGAATTTGTATGGAAACAATACTATGGAGTGTACTTGGTTTTGGTTGTGAACAGTGTCGACTTGGGTTTCTAGGGGCCTTGTTGGTGTGCTGTGATGATGTTGCCGTGTCAATGTCAGTGCCAGTGTCAGTACCAGTGTCAGTACCAGTGTCAGTGCCAGTGTCAGTACCAGTGTCAGTACCAGTGTCAGTACCAGTGTCAGTACCAGTGTCAGTACCAGTGACGAGTACCCTAGCTGTCAGTAAGATAGGACCATGTGAATATCCATCTTCCCCATAGACTAGAGAAACGCAGTTTTGGTTCTAGGTAAAACTTTGTTTGTCAAGCCAACTCTCAGTCCATGCCTGCAAACAAAACCCAGCCAAGGCCGAATCAAAAAAACCAGGCCAGACTGGTAAGAGCCAGGTCAGAACAATTCAATTCTGTGTTTTACCCATGTGTACCCCATTCCCCGTTACCCGTGTCTGAGCTAGTGTGGTGGATGGGTTGTGGGTTTCCAAGGTTTCTTGCCTGATATGTGTGTTCTCTGGGTGCGGAGGGATTTGTATATCGCTAACCAGTGGCTGGACAGGACAAGATGGCACAGCACAGCACAGCACAGCACAGCACAGCACAGGACTACATGCACATCTCGCCACGACACATGCACAAGGACGCGGGGATCAAGGTGATGGTGTATATTCATTGCATCTTTAATTCGTGCGCCGTGTTTTTTTCCTTTTTCCGCGCTGGATACAACAGGGCTGCTGTTGCGTTGTCGTGTAGTTGTGGTGGTATGTTGTGCCTGGCTGAGATAAATGGTATAGCGCTTTGATGATACAGGCTGGGTTTCTGGGTATCGTGATATGTGTAGTAGGGGAATGGATGTGCGGCTAATAGTGTGACGGGTTGGATTCGTGTATACATGCGGGGAGGGGGTATGAAGAGGAGAGAAAGGGGAAAAGAAGAAGAGTGAAAGATGGCTAGATAGAAGAGTGTGAGGATCATGGTCGGTAGGTGTTTGAATTCACCTGGCTTGCCATGACCATCATCCAGACGAGGAAGACGCAGCCGATGATCCAGAAGGCGAATTCGGCTTGCCAGCATTGACCTGTTTGATCCTTGTCAGTGGGGTCCTTGTTGGATTGCTTCTTCTTTTGTACAGACAGCACACAACACCAGCACTGCATCATGCATGTATTCCCAAAGATTCAAAGAAAAAACACTCACAAATATTCCTCTGCTGCAAAAACGCCAAAGTATCCAACCCAGGCCCCTGCTGATCATCCCCAAACACATAGGTATTGCACTGATTATTCACATTCGGGCCGGCAAACAGCTGGATCGCGGTGCCGATGATGCCCGCGATGAAGAGGACGAGCAGGATGAAGGAGAGCAGCATCATGAGGCCTGGGAGCAGTCTGCGCTGCGATATGTACACGATTTCGACGACGATGAAGAGGATGGCGAGGGTGCCGACGGTGACGCCGTAGGGCATGATCCTGTGGCAGGGGATGTTAGGGTTTTTAGTTTCATTGGGTTATCATGGGGTTATGGGGGAGGATGGAGGAGTGTACCATGGGGTGCCCAAGCCCATGCGATCTTGTATCTGCATGAATTGCGCATTGATGCCTAATATCGTGCTTGCGGTGGCGAGCATGACAATCGTCCAGATGTTGAGTTGCAGGTCGGGCCAGTAGTACTTTTCGCGTATGACGACTGCGGAGCCGACGACGGTTGCGGAGTGGCCTGGTCGCGCCATTGTGGGTTGTTGGTGTTGTGTATGTGTGTGTGTGTGTGAGAGAGAGAGGAGGGAGATGTTGTCTTCAATGGGATTCGAGTGGCCGTGTATGTCCTGATGCAGTCGAGTCGAGTCCCCGAGGCTCTCTATACTTCTGCTTCACCTGCAGACCAAGATATGCGTGTGGAATCCGTTCGTTTCTTTCTCCTTCCTGCTCTTGTCGTCACCACCAGACTCGACCAGACTTTAAAAACACAGACTGCACTTCGTTGCGCAATTGGATATCAGCTCCACAGGCCAACAAACGTATTCTCCGTCGTTGTCGTCGTTGTCGTCGTTGTCGTCGTCGTCGTCGTCGTCGTCGCACCGTAAATCCGTCGCGTCGACCAATGTCGAGTCGCAAGTATCAACACTAAGCGTTGGCCGGGCAAGTCGTCGAAGCCGGGGAGGTCGAGGGGGGAGGGGGGCTGGTGGGGCTCGCTGTGTAGTGAAGGCGCTCTATTCCCGGGCCCTATGCAAGTAAAGTAACCTCCTGCCACGACCAAAAACCTCCAAGAAAGAAGCAAAAGTTATCGACCCGATCACAAACCACCCGTCTCTTCCCAACGTAAACCCCCAATCCCCAAAGACCCTAAACACATACCCCCAACCCCCCAGAAATCTCCACCCGCGCCCCATCAGCCACCCCAACCACAATTCAAAGGCTGGGCCACAAGGCCAGAGAGGCTGGGCTGGACAAACCAGGGGCTGCCTGCGCCCAACCAACCAACCAACCAACCAACCAACCAACCAACCAAAAAGGCAGAGCGAGCAAGGACATGAGCATGGCGCTGGCGGATTGAGTGATGCAATTATGATGAGTATTGTACCTCCTACTACTCTAATCATGGTAGAGTGCGAGAGCATGTACTATGCCAGGGAACCATCCCATCCCATCCCATCCCATCCATCATCATTACCGCTATAATTGCGAATATCGCGCCTGTTGGCTGGGCGGCGAAAATACCCGTGCATGGCATCGCATGGCATCGCACGCGCGCACGCACGCACGCACGCACGCACTTGGCTAGCTAGCTGGTTGTAAAGTTTTGCAGGCGCGGGTTTCCCCATGTCGTAGAGTGTGATGATCAAGGGCAAGGATACGATGGGAAGCTGTCAGATTGCGTATTTTGCAAGGAGGGGAGGGCGGTTGGGAAAGGTGGGCAGATGCACAATCAGACGAGTAGGATAGATTGTGGTATTTTTGGATGTAGAGTACAGGCATTAGGCATTACGATGGTGAAGAGGGAGAGGAAGATGTTGTGCATCAACCGTGAAAAACAGGGGGGGTTGGGGGTGGACCGTTTGGAAAGAAAAGAACAAGCCAAAACAAAACCACAGCCCAAAGCGTCCTCAACCATTCCACATTCCACATGCCAACAATCGACATGTAACTAACCATACAAACTCAAAACAAACCCCCCCAGGGCCCCAAAACAAAAAAAAAAAACGCCGCCCGATGCTTATCCCGCTCCTCCTCTGGGGCTTCGCCCAACCACCACCACGGGCGCGAGGAAATGCGCAGAACAGGTAGGCTTTACTTGCGCCTGCTGACAATCTTGGTAACCGCATGCCTGATGATAGTGCCTGCCTTCTCCGTCTCCTTCTTGGTCAGCCCGCTGGTGCAGCAGACCTTGAGCGCCGGCGTGGGCTGCCAACCGGCATCTCGGGGGTTGAGGCCGAGGCCGAGGGGAAAGGCCTTGAGGCGGGTGATGAGCACGCTGTTTGCCAGACACTGGATTGGTCATGTCAGTGAGTGGGTCATCTTTTTGCACCAGAGTGCTAAGAGAGGAGGGGCCAGAGGAATTGAGGAGAACGACGTACCTCGTCGACCACCTCGCGGAAGATTTGGTTTTGGTCGTCAATGGTCAGTTTCTTGGCCTCGATGACTTCGGGCTTCAGGACAAGGAGTAAGATGGGATTGTCCGCCGAACTGGTAATCTTGATCCAGTCGCTCCTCGGGTCCAGTTGGGCACGCATCGCCTTGATGTTCTCCCGCAATGCAGTCAAGATCTCGGGTTGTTCCTGCAGCAGGCTGATGGTCTCGCTCGCCGTCGTGGAAAGCAGTGCAGGCAGAGCAGCCGAGTATGTGTACGATGCCGACGAGATGCGTTGATGTTCGACGACTTCTCCGTTGCCCGCGCAGAATCCACCGGCTGCACAGAGCGGACCGGAGAGGGAGCCGATAATCATGTCTACTTCGGTCGCGTCGACGTTTTGAGCCTCCGTCACGCCCGCACCGGTGCGACCGAGGACGCCGTAGGACCATGTTTCGTCGAGGATGAGGCGGAACTTGTACTTGAGCTTCAGCTCAATCTGCCACATGTTAGCTTAGCTCCGCCTACATGTTTTGCATGTATTCTAGGTCTAGAACGTACCAGCTTTGGCAGGTCCACGACATCGCCCATGTTCTCAAAGAGGCCTTCGGTGATGATGAAGCGCCTAGTAAGCGGCTTCTTTGCCTGTTCCTTTGTGATTTTCTTCAGTACATTCTCAAGATCCTCCATGTCATTGTGCTCGAACCAGCGCACGGTGCTGCGACTAATCTGCATGCCCTTGCGGGCGGCATAGTTGATGGCTCGGTCGGCTACGATGATGTCGCCCCGCTTGCTGAAACTCGGGATAACGCTGCTGATGGTGGAGAAGGACTGGGCGTAGATGATGCAGGCCGGGACACCCAAGTGTGCGGCTACGTCGGCCTCTGTCTTCATGTGAACATCCTGGGTGCCGTAGAAACCGGGAGGGCCGCAGGGGCCAACACCGTAGGTGCGCAGCGTCTGTATGGCTTTCTCCTTGAGCGCATCTGAGGCGAGGAAGTTGTAGAAATTATAGGAAGCAAGGTTCGTGACGGTGCGGCCGGTAGAGAGCTTCGACTTGGGGCCCGTGGGTCTGCACGACGAGGGTTAGATGAATGCTGTTCATGTTTCCATGCGCCGTCTTTTCTTTGGGGCCATCTTACCCAACAATCACTGGCCGCTTCTCGTTATCCAGTTCCTCAAACTGCGTAGGCGGTGCAACGAGTGGCTCAGGCGTCCAGTCTTCGACCAGCTCGTCAATCTCCTATTCACACACACAGACACACGTATCAGTCTCTCGCTGCGCTGCTTCAGTCTGGCGATGAACAACGTACCGCGTCCGTCAATTGCACTTTCTTCTGCGTGCTGTACTTGGGTGCCAGCAGATAGCGCACGGCAAAGAGAAAGAGGAACAGTTCAATCGCGCTGCGCACCGGGTCGTTCTGGTAACTCGACTTGATGTATCGCACCGCAATGGCCGATCCGGGGATGCGGTTGAACTGCGCATTGGCGTCTGTGAAAAAGCGTGCAGTCGCATTCTGTACTTCGTGGAGATCCATGATGGCTCGAGGGCACGAGTGGAGTCGAGACAAGGAGGCGCAGGCGTGGCCTTGGGGCGTGGCCTACTTTCTTGAGCGTTGGCAAGTCTTCGGGAGTTGCGGCGAAGCGCGGAGGTGGTCCCCCCAGGCCAGGCGAGCAGATGAGGGTGCAGGGGCAGTGTCGTGTCATAGGGTAGCCCCAACCAACGCCAACAAAACGAAGCCAGGAACATGACCGTCCCGTGATGCAAGACGAACACCCTTGCCCTGCCCAACGCTCATTTGCTTTCTCATCGTCACCAAAACAGAGCCATTTGCATTTCAAGCATAAGACATCCATGTATTTATGTGTAATGAGTCACTTTCTAACATGCTCGCCTTCCCATGACCAACTAAAAGCAAACCCATCATAGTATATGTGCAATCAAGTCCGCACCAACGGTGGACACGCCAAATGCCAAAAAAAAAAAGAGGGAAAAAAGGGGCGGCTGCAAGCATCTACACTCACACCCCAACGCCAATAGGAAATGAATGAGATGCTGATGCCGGCTATTACAATCATTATCCGACGGGGCCCAGTCCACCCGATCACGGTACGCTTTATCTTGTACATGCGATGCCCAAAGAGTGCGAACAATCCGCCGAACTTTCAAATGAGCTTTTTTTTAGTAGGCCATGTAGCGGCGGAAACGACGAGTTGCGGGGTCCACCGCTTCATCCGAGCTAGCTGTCTCGCCAGCAGGATTCCATTCGGGACACTTCATGCCATTCACACAGCTTCCAGTCACCGACGTAGTTGTGTCGTTGTTGTTGTAACCAGTCGGCTGCAGAATCTCCATGGGCAGCGTCATGGGGAAATCAAACTTGAACTTTTCCCCAACGATAATGGGTCCGACAATCAGGACAAGGAAGACCACAAGGAGGGTGAAGTAGAGAATGGCATAGCGGATAACTCTGCGCTTGCGAAGCTTGGTCTGCTTGAGCGAGTAGATGGGAGGTCGGATCTGACGACTATTCATGAATTAGTACATTGCATGCATCAGGACAGACGTGTCTAAACGTACCTTGGGCGAAGCCAGAACAGCATGACAGAGTGGAACTTGTCGGCGTAAGGAATTAACAAGACAGGAAGCATGAAGAAGAGAAGGACATGTCCCAGGATGAAGTCGGCGGCGAACATGCCAAGCTCACAAATCTTGCAGAGAAATTCACGGCCAGGCTGCGAGATGGTGTGCCAGCCCATGGTGTACCACTTTCCAGTCCACCAAGCGATGTTGGAAGTATCCGCCTTGAACTCACGAGTGAGAGCAAGAGAGATGATCAGCTTGAATAAGAATCGCTGGATGGCGGTGACTGCAATCATACCACCCAATGCCCTCGGGAAACTAAAGCCCTCAAGGAACATCAGGACGACGAAGAAGACCAACAGCATGATGACAGCAATGGCGTGCGCAATGGCGGCGAGAACGGCACCGAATTTCTTGCAGCACATGCTCAGGAGAGGTCCAGCGCAACAAGCCAAGGCGAAAAGTCCCGCCAGTACACCGGCATTGACGGCGACAGGTCCCAGAGCAACAAGGCCAATGCGGACAAGGGCGCCTGATGCCTTGGGAGGAGGAAGATTGGGCTTCTCCTCAGCAGTGTTGCGCCTGTCGTTGACACCAGTCTGAGCGTTGATGAACAGGTAGGGGACCAAGGTGATAGCGACAAGAACAAGGGGCCCAAGGATCTCTGCCATGAAGATGTTGCTGAACTGAGCCCGTGGAACGTCACCCGAGAGCTTAGACGAAGGATCTCCCAGCACCTTGCGTTTGTAACCCGTGATACGAGTACGTGACAGACGGCAGTAACCGATCCAGGACGCGCTGTGGGATCGAGTGTTTCCGCGAGACAGCCAGCGAAGGTACTCCCTGTAGTCGATGAAGAAATCGTCCCACGAGAACTGGTGAGGATTGAAGAGGAAGGGGGCCAAGCAAAGAGACAACAGGGATGCCCAGAAATAGATGAGCCATGGTCCCCAGACCGTGATGGTAGCGAACAGAATCATCATCAAGGCACGAGCACCAAGATAAATGGATGGTCCAGCAAATCGAGAGTAGAGGATACCGAATGGAATACGGGCAGTGGCGAAACCACGGCCAGTACCAATGTAACGAGCACCACCGAATGACAAGTTCGTCTGGAGGGAGTTGGCGTAAATTTGCGTGACAAACACCTCGAAGAAGGGCGAACCAGATGAGAAGTGCTTGGCGAGACGAGTCGCAGCGCGCCAAAACCCACGCTCAGTCAACTCTTGAACCACAAGGGGCACGAAGGAGATGAAGAAGACAATGAAGATGGACACAATACAACGTGCAACCCAGTCGAATACAGGTACCAAGTTGGCGCAACCGTTGGGCCACTGAGGATCGGTAATCGGGAGGTCCTTGTTGAACTGGCAGAGAATGATCTCGTGGTTGAGAGCGCCGAGGTTGACCAAGACGAACATGAAGCACTGCACAGACAACATGATGAACATGTTGTTGATGTGGAAACCAGGATGGGCGTAGTAGAAGGACAAGAAACGGTCGAGAGGAAGCTGTGTTCCCAGATAGTAGTACTCGCGGGACAGCATCTGCTCACCCATACCAGTACCAATCTTGGTTGTGAAGTTGAGCACAGAGCCGAAACCAAGATCACGACCCTTTCCACACTGGTAGTACTCGCAGTGCTTTATGCGACCACCACGGAGAAGAGCATTCATGCCAGCGTAGATATCCTCGTTCAGATGCAGTCCCTTTTGGGCCTTGGAAACACCACCACGAGTGGTCATGAAGATACCGTTGAGGAAATCAGGGTGACCATAATGGAGCTTGCCACCAATCTGAGCCAGGGTTCGAGCAAACATAGTACCGAATGTCTGTTCCTTTCCAGCAGCGATGTCACCAAGGATACCAATGTTCTCGGAGAAGATGTATTCACGAGCTCCGAGAATAGCGACAGGGTTGAAGTTTGGATTGGGGATGCCGGGAGTGTAGGGCGAAACGTTATCGGTGGTCATCTCCTCGAACTCTGCAAGGACACTGCGAATCTTCAAGCACTCCTCGAGGTAGTTGTCCTGGTTAGCATCGATAAGCTGGATGTACTCTCCGCGGTAGAAGATGATGGAATGGTTCTGGTTGTCAGACTTGCCATCACCGAGAATAGGGTTGCCAGAGAGTTGAATGCGGAACTTAGGGCGACGCATGCCATTGTCCATGATCTCAGAGTGACCATCAATCAAGGCGGAATAAATGCGTGGCTCGTCACCCTCATTGAGTGGTGGCTCCTCGTCCAGGTAGGCAATTTGAAGATCAGGGTAGGCACGGAGGAGAAATTCGGTGTTCTCACGCTCCTCCTTTGTGAATTTGGCATAACGTTGCATGGAAACACAGATCTTGTACTTGCGTCTAGCCATACGCTCGAGCTCACGCTCGAGCTTGTCAGAGTTACCACCGAACATCTGGACGACCTCTGGGTTCTCCACGCGGTATAGAAGCTTGATCGCACGGCTGTAGTTCATGAAACCCGAAATAGTACGGTAAAGCGTCTGGGAACGCAGAGAAGCCCAGATACGGGTACGGAGCGTGTATTCGGGAGCAGCAGACTTGAAACCAATGCAGTAGAAGGGAAGATCATCGATCTTGCTCTTAGCGGTGTCCTTCTCACCCTTCTCATCGTCGCCGTTGAATTGAGATGTCTCGTCCGCCAGAATCTTTGTGTCCTTGACGAAGCAGTCCCACTCGTGAGGATGAAGTTGCTTAAGGTATTCGAGGAGGGTGACCCGAGAGTAGGGCTCATCTTCACGAATGATCTCACGGAGAGACAACAGGATCTTTTCACCGTAGTGAGGGATCAAGACGGTGAATGTAGGCATGTTATCCACGGGAAGAGGCTCAGGAATCGGCGTAGACAAGGACTGGGCGAAGAAAGAGATGCGACGCTCAGCCTCACTCTGGGCCGGGAAAAACTCCGTCTTGAAGGAGTGGTCTTCTTGAGAGACGAAGAAAGTTGGTGCTCGCAGGGTACGTTTGCCTTCTTGCTCAGACGGGACCTGGTGGTAAAGAAGCTTCTGCACATGGTCAATGGCCAAAAGATGTTCCCGATACATCGAGATGACGACAGCGTTCCAGATCTGGGAGATGAGCACCTTGGGCTTGTATTTGATCTCCATGTCCGTGGTGGCCAGAACCTTTGAATAGATACGCTTGGGCAGGCGGGAGAAGATGTTCCTCCACGGGGTCCAAATGGAGACACCGAGGTAAAAGGATCGGGAAACCGAGAACAACATGTTCGCGATGATGTACCACAGATACGAGTCCAAGAAGAACAAGATCAAGTCCATGAAATACATGAGACCGAGCAGAATTCTTGGCTGGTACTTGCATAGAATGTCTCCCAAGATCGCGTCACCCAAACAGTCGGGCTTCTTCATGTGCGAGAGGATACGGATAGGATCCTTGATCGACAGGGTCAGGAAGAAGTACGACTCGGCCAACTTGGCGGCAAAGACCAAAACCCATAGGCCGTAGGACATCCACATGTCATTGCCCTTGAGACGCGGATAACTGGCGGTAAAGGTTTGACTGGCAACATACTTGCGCGAGTTGCGAGTGAGGTAGCTGCCAAAGAGACCGCCAAGAGGCATGATGGAGAAGAATATGAAGGTAAGCAGAGCAATGGCGAATTGAACGCCTCCAAGAATGTTGGCGATGGTGCCGGTCCGCTTGTCCAAACCAAAGATGTAAACGCTGGGTGCAATGTTGACAGCGAAGACGGCGAGGAGGAACATGAGACGCTTGGTGAGATGCTGAGCACCAGCCCACTTGCGTGGAACGTATGCCCACTCAGCAAGGGTGGCCCAGATTTGAATCAGAGAAGCAATCGTACCACCGAGAGCAACAGCGGAAAGGATGGCGGCCCTCTCCGGTCGGTTGTCCAGCTGTTGTTCGTACTTCTTGGTGTAGACGGGCTGAGAGTTGAAGACGGTGTAGAACCAGAAAGTGGTCAAGTGAATGACCCAGATGCGGTTGAAGTTGACAATCATGTGGAACCATGATCGACGCTCGTAGTAGGTCTTGAAGAAGACCTTTTTCCACACCACGTCCTTCAACTTTGCGTATCGCTCAGCAGGCGGAAGGTCTACGATGCGAGACTTGTCTTCGAAGACAATTCTTTCGAGACCCTCTGGGTACCAGAAGAGCTGGTTGATGTCGTCATAACCAATGATGGAGGAGTGATCGCGTTCACGACGGACGTACTTGCCATCTTGAATTTCGTACCCTTGATCACGGCAGTATTGGTAGAGCGGGGTGATGATTTCGTTGAGGTACGTAAACTCTTCGACGGGCTCGGTCTGCGCTTGACCAGCAGGCGAATTGAGGTAGTCGTCTGCGCACTTGAAGATGAAGCACATGAGCTCCGGCATAAAACGAACTTGGTTCGCCTCACCCCAGCAGAGCAGGTACAAAGCCACCTGGCGAACGCGTTCGTGTTGTGACATGCGGTTCATGCGAGTCTTCCAGCGGTACTCAGCCGCCTCGAGACTGTTGTCGCCTTCATAGGCATCCAGCGTCTCATCCTCGTTGCCTGGGTTCTCGGTGGCCTTCTTCTTCGCAGCCTTGCGAGCCTTGCGCGTTCTACGGCTGGCCTTTCCAAGGTTCATGTTTGCAAATCCAACGGCATCATCGAGATCGAGATGAGCAGCAAAGTACCATCTCCGGAAGTTGGCGTTTTCGCCACCAATATAATCGGCATGAAGCGACAAAAGCGCCTGGTTGGGTGACATGCGTGACGCGCGGGAATCTAGCAACGTCATGAAGTGGTCATACATGTTTCTCATGCTGTCGCGCTGGAAACCGAATTTGGCGGTCAGATCCAGAAAAATGTCCTCAATCTCTTCTTTGGTACACGGGATTTGTGCCTCGGCGGTCCATGCGGGATAGGGCTCACGAGAGCGCTGGCCAGCGGGCAAGGCATTCGAGTAGTCCATTCCATAGATGGGCGTGGATGCACCGGACGAACGGTTGCCGCCGTAGGAGACCTGAGAGGAGGGTGGGCGGTAGCCACGGGCACCTTCCTGGTAGCTGTTGTAGCGCTCGTCTCCACGGCCATAGTAGTCCATGTCGGTTGCGCGGGCCATGTCAGAACGCATGGTGAAGTCACTAAAGGTCTCAGAGTCCTCCTCGGAGTCGTGGCCGCGACGGCGAGGCGGTTGGCCGTTTTGTGCATAACCATCTTGAGCGCCTCCTTGGTCGTAGTACTGGTCGTTGTAATACTCGTCTTGGTAGCCCTGCTGACCGCGATCGTCGTAGTAGCCGTTGCCATTTTGTTGATACTGCTGTTGACCACCATGACCGTCGTAATAAGCTCTGTGAAGCGATTAGTCATCTCGAACGAAAAAAATGCCTCATCGGGAAGAGAAGGACGCACGATTCGTCATAATAAGCATCGCCCTGTTGCTGGTACTGAGACTGGCCACGAGACTCGTCGTGGTATTGACCGTATTGGTCGTCCTGGTAGTAGGCGTCCTGAGGGTGCGACTGCTGGCCCTGAGTCTGGCCGTAGCCGTCGTCGTAGTGGCCGCCCTGCGGATGTCCGGACATCTTGCGGGGTAGATTAGAGTACGATGTAAAATCTGTGAGACAAGCTGTCAACAAGTGTCGGGTGACGAGCACGGGCCCCTACTGAAACAAGAGGCGTCGGAAGGGCGTACCTCAAACAATGAGCATTAGGAGCGGCAGTACTACTTGTTCGATTGAGCTTCAATGGCTGCCGCGCGATGTTGCGGTAGAAAGGGGGTGGGTGCTGTGGCGAGCGCGGGCGGTTGGGTGTTGTATGCAGTTGAACGAGTGTTGGCGCGGAAGCGAGGGAGGCAATCGGCGGATGAAAGTGTGAAACGGAGGCCGAGTGTCTACCCCAAGAGCCAACGAAGTCGATGTTGCACCGGGCCTGCTCGTGCCTGCTGCGTGGTTGGGAGGGAGTTGATGGGAAGGGGTGTGCAAAGGTGTGGTATTGTGTTGTGTCGTGCTAGCTAACGAGTGAATGGTGCTGGACGCAGCTGCCGTCGGTTGTGGTTGCCAGGTGAGACGGGCGGCGAGTCGGCGCTTGCTGCTTGCTGCAAGGCGGGAGTGAAATTAGGCGTGTTGGTGGTTGGCGGCTCCCCTCTGCTGTGTTGGTTTTGCGGGGGGTGCAGGAGAGGGAGAGAACAGTGGAACAGATGGAATCAAACCTCCAGACGACAAAACGAGAGGCAGGGTGGGAAGAAACAAGAAAGAGGAGGAAGAAGGGAGTTTGGATTTTGGGTTGGGGGCGAGGGGGGGGGGGCGAGAGAGTGAGCTTCGGCGAGGAATGCGGACGCAATCGCGGTAAAAGGCTTTTTAGGACGTTCCCCTGAAAATGAGAGGCACCACGCCAAGCTGGGCTAAGGCCGTCAGAGAGGCTGCGCATGGGTCCCCTTCCGCCAGCCATTCACGCGTCCCGACCAGCCTATGACTTGGCCAGTCAAAGCACCAAGCGGTCTCGCCTCTCTAAAAACAGCATAGCAGATGGGATGTAGATACTTGAGAAAGAAGTATGGACAGCAAGTATGGACATGACGGTTGGGTCATTTCAAAGCAGCAAGGAGCAAGCAACGGGCCAGTCAAGCAACATGAGCAGCCATCGATCTTCGTCGTGCTGTTCGTCGCGTGCGTTGCGAGCTGTGGCGGGAATGCTGGGGGGGGGGGCAAAGCAAAACAGGTTCACAGGCACACGGCGCATCCATCTGGTTGGGAAGCCCGATCTCCCGCATTATCGATTAGAGTACAGTATCTGCCGCCGCCTTGTACCTCTAGATACTTTGTACATGTTTTTGCATGTGTTTGGCAACAAGTACTTTGACATGAACAGGGGATTGTCTGTAGAAGACGGCATCATGTACCTACAGGTATGTCGGTGTCGCGTGCTTGTTTGTGATGCAGTCCTTTTGGCCGCCCCTCGATTCTTTTGCTTCTTTGTCAACTGTCTTTCGCCACCAGGCCCTCCCCTCCTTGCCAGCTTCGATCCCATGTCTACACTGACTCCACGCAAAGAGCACGTCACGACGGTGCAGACCGATGGCCGGACGGAACAAGGCAAAGGTGACGTGCACGCTACCTACTAGAACTACTCTACTACCGGTAACTGTACCATACCTAGTAGTAGTAGTAGTACGTACCTACTGTCGTCTTGACTGGACACTGGACAGTGCAGAAGGTGTGTGAAAAAAAAGCCCGCGCAGATCAGAGGCAAACCTTGAAGGGGCGGGACAGACGGCGCGACGACAGCGACAGATAGGCGTCCCTTATCAGACAAGGCCCAATCGCCAATGGCCAATGAGCTGTCCCTGTGGCGCCGCTCCCGTTTCGCCCTAGGTCAAACGGTTGCTTGGTGTGACACCTGAGCAGAGTTAGAGTAGGCAGTGCTGAGTCGTCGACTGCCCACTGCTCAGTACACAGTATGTACATACAAGTACAAATACAATAAATACATACTATGTGTATGTACTGTCTAGTAAGTACCTAGGCAGTGGGCCCTGGGCATTACCCCCACGCCCCCAGCAAAGCAAAGCAAAGCAAAGCAAAGCAAAGCAAAGCAAAGGGGGCTGACCGTGCTATGGCCGCCAACGAACTGTTGAGACCTGGCCCCGGGATGGGATGGAAACCGGATGTTCCACGCCCGCCCGCCTGCAATGTCCATGTTCGTCCCTCTCCCCCCCCCCATGTCGCGCGAGAGAGCGGTTGCTGTCAGTCTCGCGCATCCGAGCAGCTTGCCGTCATTACAAAGCTGGGCCTGTACCGCCCTCTTCTCCTGAAACCTGCATATGGCCATTTTAGATGAAAGATGCCTTGAATGGCTGCCCCGCCTCGACTCTGTTATGGAATGACTTGCCTAGTATGTGTACAGTACCTACTGTACCTGCAAAATACAGCATGGTACAAAGACGACATGGGAACCGTCAACCACCCTTGGCATATCATCTGACACTCTATCACATATTGTCGACTCCCCTGGAACAAGGACCCATGTAGTAGAGAGGAGAGTCTGCGCTGTTTGCACCCTCCAGCTCGAGGCGACCACATCTGTAACAGCAGTCTGCCTGCTCTGGTGCGAGTCGACGTTTTGTGGAAAGCAAGTTCCCAACACAACACAAGTGCACCCAAAGAAAAAAAAACCCTGATTCGTTAGCAATACTGTACGTAACGTACTTTGTACTACCTAGACTGCTCTACTCTACAATACACACACACACACGCGCACCAGCCAATCACGCCCATCGTTCCTTCTTTTAGCAGTGTGTGTGTGTGTGTGTGTGTGTGTGTGTACACATGACAAGCTAGGCACTCAGAGTTGAGAATGCAGGTCTTCAGCAAGACAGACACATGTACTCCCTCTCACCACTCAGTACTCTGTTCGCATCATGGTGACCACTCGGGCAGCGCGAAGAAGGCTTGCTTGCACTTAATCCCTCCAGAGGCTTTCAAGGGGGCTCACTGGTCTACCGGTATAGCTGGTCATGGAAGTACTGGAAGTACTACTCTACTGGCCTCTTTGACTGCGCCACAGCCACAGTCCAGCCACAGAGCCCGCTCTTTGTCGGCTCAAGGCTGGAGACGAATGACTTACCTACTCCAGTACCAGGTACACAGTATGTACATACTCTACCGTACTTGGCCTCCATCCTGGGCCAGTCTGAGGCCACCAAAAAGTCCCTATACAACATCGCCGCCGGTACTCCTAGTAGCATTGTCCGCGGTGGGGCAGACAGCCCTCTCGCAGTGGGGTGCAGGGAAATTGCGCGTACGCGTCAAAAGGTGTCAGGGTCCTGCCAAAGTCTCCACGCATGGCTCCGACGAGAGGCCTATGCGATTGCGACCAACGTCCAACTACCCGACCGCACATTCGGCTACTGATTTCCATCCAACTGTTCTGCCCTCGACCACAGGCCCTTCCCAATTCCCATCGCCTGGCTGAGACGGCCTGGCGTCGAGTGCATCCCTATTGGATGTCACCGCTCGACGCCACGCCACGCCACTCACCTTCAGGCCAAGCGCTTGGGCCAGGAATGCGAAACAGGGCTAGTGCCAGGGGCAAGCTTGACCCTTGCTGGTCCCTCTTGAAGGAAGCTTGTTGCCCTCGCATTCTTTCACTCTGGCTGCCTCATCGCCGTTTCTTCAGTCAGCCTCTGCGTTTTACCAGTCCGTCTTTCCCACCCTACTTAATATTCACTCTTTTGCAATCAGCCCGTTTGCCTGTTGCGCTACGCTCCTTGACCCCGACGACACCCGCGCCTTCTCAATCCACCCTTCCTGACGCTCATTATCGTTTCTTTCTCGGCGCCTCCACCCAAGCACTTGCCAACACCGACTTCACGTCTTGGACATTCTTGTGCCATCCTTATCAACATGCGCGGACTCATTGCTACCACGGCCCTGCTCGCCGGCGTGCAGGCCGCCATCGACCCAATCGTTATCAAGGTACGCCGTCGCACCCTGGCAAACAGCATCTGGCGCCCCAACTTACCCATCTGCAGGGCCAAAAATTCTTCCACAAGAATAGCGGAGAGCAATTGTAAGCCTCACCAGCACCTCTCCCTCTCATCAAGTTGCCTGTCCCTAACATATTGCCAGTTTTATGAAAGGCATTGCCTACCAACGTATGCGTTCCTCTCGCTCTCCACCTGGACGCAAGCTGACATCAGGCAGAGGAGATCAACTCAAACTCCACACAGACCGATACCGACAGCCTCAAGATCACCGACCCCCTGGCCGACTCGGAAACCTGCAAGCGGGATATTGAATATCTCAAGAAACTCCAGACAAACATCATCCGTGTCTATGCCATCGACCCATCCAAGGACCACAAGACATGCATGCAAGCTCTGGCAGATGCGGGAATCTATGTCATTGCGGATTTGTCCGAGCCCGGCCTCTCGATCAACCGTGATGACCCTGGATGGACCGTTGACCTGTTCAAACGCTACACCAGTGTCGTGGACGAGCTCATGAAGTATGACAACACCATGGGTTTCTTCGCTGGCAACGAGGTCTCCAACCAAGGCAACAACACAGTCGCCAGTGCTTTCGTCAAGGCTGCCGTCCGTGACACCAAGGCTTACATCAAGAGCAAGAACTACCGAGAGATTGGCGTCGGGTATGCTACCAATGATGACGCTGAGATTCGCGAGAACATGGCCAACTACTTCAACTGCGGAAAGCCGGAGGAATCCATTGACTTCTGGGGTTACAACATCTACTCGTGGTGCGGCGACTCCTCCTTCACAGAGTCGGGCTTTGATGTCCAGACCAAGAACTTTGAAAAGTACAATGTGCCCGTCTTCTTCGCCGAATATGGTTGCAACACCCCTCGCCCTCGCAAGTTCACGGAAGTCGGCGCTCTTTACGGCAAACAGATGACGGGCGTTTGGTCCGGTGGTATCGTCTACATGTACTTTGAAGAGGCGAACCAGTTTGGTAGGTTTAATTCTTTTTTGCCAACCTGCCTATTCCCGAGCTAATTTCAATAGGTCTCGCCTCCATTTCCAACGGCAAAGTCAAGACCAACGAGGACTTTGACAACCTGTCCAAGCAGATTGCAAAGGCCACGCCCGTCGGTGTCAAAATGGACTCTTACACCCCTAGCAACACGGCTGCTGCTACTTGCCCCAAGGTTACGGCCGCCAAGTGGGAAGCTGAGTCGGATCCCCTTCCTCCTGCCGCGAACGCAGACCTCTGCTCTTGCATGATGGACACTCTCAGCTGCGTTGTCGCCGACAAGACCGAGGAGGATGACTTTGGTGACATGTTTGGTTTCATCTGCGGTCTCAAGGATGGAGAGTACTGCGCCGGTATCAACAAGAACGCTACCACCGGTCCTTATGGCGCGTATAGCATGTGCTCGAACAAGGAGCAGCTCTCTTTTGCTGCCAACGCCTACGCAAAGGCCGTCAACGGTGGATGCAACTTCAAGGGCAAGGCCACCACCAAGGTTGCCGTTGCTACACCCACTGCTTCTGGCTGCTCAACCCTCCTCCAAGCGGCTGGTGCTCAAGGTACCGGTGTTGTCAGTGGCAGCTCCAATGGTGGATCTGGCTCCGGCTCCGGTTCCAACTCGACTGGTGCTGCCTCTGGGCTCTCGGCACCTGTCTTGAGCACGGGTGCCTTTAGCCTCGGTCTCTATGTTTTCGGAGCCGTTGCCTCTGGCATGGCTATGATTTTGTTGTAGATGAGAGAATCGGTCCCTGGAATGAGTTTGTAGTCTTCTTTGCTGCGAAACTCCTTGTTTCCTGTGCATCTTTTTTCTTTGTTGAAATATAGTCGGTCACCTTGAATGTACACACACACCCTCTTTATTTTTTGCATAGCTTGCGTGGTGGTGCCTCTTTTGTTGTTTTGTTCTGGACTGAAAGTTGGGCCCAGGCATGTTTGGGGTTTTGGGACTTTTTAGTAGTGGGGTTAATATAATGTTTTTTTTTATCTTTGTTTTTCCGTGAATTGTGGATTGTGTAGTGGGTTTGGCTGAGATGATGGCTAAAGTGGATAGTGGAAGTGGATGGAGATGAAGATTGGGTAGCTTATATACTTTATCCTTTTCACTCCGCTAGAGCTGCTCGAGCTGAAGGAGGATGTGTTATTGCATGTCTATAATTCTAGCCTTTTTCAAGGGTTCGTGTGTCAATATGTGCAACAATACTATCTGTTTCTATTTCAACTTTACTATACCTTTCTACTATTTCTTAACTAGCTGGGAATTTTTTTGATGCACATGTTTCTACTATTTCTTAACTAGCTGGGATTTTTTTTGATGCACATGTCTTATACTAACGAGTTGTAACTATATGATTTCCGAGATGATGATGATGTAATTTTTTATTTCTCGGCGTTTTGGGGTAGGTGGTGTTGTTGTTGTTTTGGTAGGGAGGGGGATAGTAGGATAGTAGGGTTGATTAGGGTTTGGTAGCCTTGCGGCAAAGAAAAAATATGTTTTCTTGTTTTTGGGTCTTGTTTTTGTTTTGTTCAAGCAAAAATGCAAGATGGGTTAGAGGTGTCTATCAGGCACTGCAAGTGAGTTTCCAGGTCATCTCAATGCGAGACAGGGCGATGAGTAGGGTTAGGGGATTAGGTTAGACTGAATACTCTAGGCTATGTGGATGTGAATGTAAATGTGTACTAAAGTCACTTGTGGCGTATTATTTCATGTTTTGTGTGGTATGACACGCTATCTCAATCCTACATCCATTGTCAAATTTGTGTATTTGTCGTGCTATCAAAAGGCAGGCAGGTTTACGACTAGGCAGGTACTGTACCTAACTACACAATCGACCATCATCTAGCACATTGAGTTGCGATTCGTCGTCTTGGAGCATGTTTTTGGCGTCTGAGAGGGTTGGGGGGGGGGGATATGGTATCATGCTTGTGGATCAAGCGGTTGGGAATCGTATGGTGAGGTTGCGCCGATATTTGACGATTGATCTTTTGAGTTTTTGCTGTTAGAGCGCTGTTTAGATGTGGATGTGTGTGAGTGGAGAGGCGTTTGGCGGGTGTTCATGCACGGATGTGTAAAGGCGGGGACTAATGGACAGCTAACTTGACTGATCATTTTATCAACTTTTCCGGGCTGGGTGGGGACACATGGTAGGTATAGAGACCCAAACAAGCAGGCACATGCGATATCAAAAACAGTATCAAGGCGAGTGGCACAAATGAGTAGCAGGAGATGAAAGCAACCATTTCTACATTGGTGTATTATATTATAGTCTATTTGTATCGAGTATAGGGAGCGACCATACTGATGTGTGCAAACATCTTACGTGGCGTGTAGGTACAAAATATCATGAGAACCAAACTCTCACGCTCTGACAAAGCTTCCTATTTGGCGGCGTCATTGCTGTACTGGCACTTGACGAGTTGCTCAGAGGGTGAGCTTTTGAGGAGGACATCGACGCAGCCCTCCTGGCCAGCGGGCTTGTCGACGACCTTGTACCAGATGTACCATGTATCGTTCTGTCCGGGACAGGCCTGGAATTTGGGTTCATTGAGAAATTCGAGACCGCCATCGGCGCTGAGGCTGAATGTCTTGGTCTTGTCTTGGGCATTGGTGGGCGCGTCGGGGGCATCGTTGCTAGGGGGGACGGGACCATTAAGGTAATGGACATTGCCCTGGCCCATGCCACTGGCATCGATGCTGACAGTCTGCTCCTCGTCCTTGGTGTAGAGCTTGAGGCGACCATCTTGAAGCATGAAGTTGGCCGCACCGGGAACGGGACCATCGCAAATGGCACTTGCGTTCTGCAAAGGTCCGAACGCGAGGCTACGGTTGACGGCGATGATGGGCCTGTTCTGGACCGGCATATCGCCACCAGATTTGGCGGTTCTCAGCGTAAAAACGGCATCGTTGTTGGTAGCAGTGTTCGTGCCTTCAGTCTGAGGCTTAGGAGCGGCACAGGGAGAGGCGGAAACAACGGCCGCGGTGGCAGCGAGAACGGAAGCGACGGTGAACTTCATGTTGATGATGTGGTTGGATGTTTGTTAGTTGAGTGGAAATAAAGCAACGAGTGTTGGTATTAGACGAATGATTTGTAGTTGTGGATGTGGATGTGAGTTGGATGATGATAACCAAGGGAGAAAGAGCAGGAGTGTTATATAGCAAAGCAGCCTCGTATCATCCCCACTTGCATGGCCAGTAGCTCCCTGGAGATCTCACCTCTGGTCGGCGCGATGAGGTTGGTGAGCTCGGCCCAACCGCCTCGGTGTAACCGTGTGAGATCATCCATTACACCGGACACGATGGACACAGTGCTCCACGCACTGTCTTTCCCCAGTCCGCCACAGCCGGCGCACATGCTCCTCGTCACCCATACACATTCGCCCGCAGTCTTTGGTAGGGTTTAGTATCCATTGCTTTCACAGGGACGGCATCCGCCAAGCAAAAATTGTGACGTTTTGGCTTGCCACTGAGTCTGCACAAGGGCCGAACAAGCCCCAGCCTCTAGTGAGTAGCTCAGTAGACTTGGGCTAGCTCGCCCCCCAATACAGTTTCGAATGCTGCTTCTGAATGTCATGACTGACCAAAACAGTGCCTGTGCGTCCAAAAATAGACACAGTACACCATGGCCGCCAAGGTACCCCCGACGACGCGTACCGTACCATATGCTAGGTACTGTAGGTAGGTAGCCAGCTGTTCCTTGTTGGCCTCATGTGCGTCAAGGAAACATCGGAAGAGACAACACTCGCGGGCTTTCTTTCGTATTGCTTCGGCCACACCCCTTTCTCCTGTGACGGAGAAGGTACCGACACGTCAGCACAGCCTGCCAAAGTGTCTGGTGTTTGCTTGTGCATACGAACTCGAAAGTCGAAAGCCATGTGAGGGCCTATCAGAAGAGTGGGTACAGCAACTAGCATCCATCATTTCATCGTATTGCATGGGAACTTCGTGGACGTTCGTGATTGTGCGTTGAGATCATCCTCCTTGAGATCTTTATTTTCTGCACATCACGGCGCAGCTGGACCCATAAGATTTGCGGAAGAGCGGCCGGAAGGTTTACCGATCAGCAAAAGCCCTGTCACCATATCCATATGCGTTGTCCAGCCCTACCAGCTCAATGGACATTGGACGTCATGGACACAGCCGCATTGCTCCGTGCAGCACTAAAATCCGTACATCAAGGAATAGTACCGTAGATCCACAAGCTCTCATCACTAATTTTAGAGCTGCTGAAGAGACAGTGGTACGGTACCTACAGAATTGTGTCCAGATAGTGTTGAGTGTAATACGCTGGTCGTTTTCGTGGCAAATAATTTATTGCAACAACAGGAGTCGCCACTTTTTCTGTATACCATGATCCAACCTCACACGAAGAGAAGGCCCTGTAATTTCCCGTGATACGAAATGTCAAATGGTGAAATGGCGGTGAAGTTCTGCTTGGAAGATTTGACAGGAAGATCGTTCGTGTTTACTGCGGTGCCTAAGCATTTTTGACCAATGCAGAGCATTTCCAACGCAATGTTTTCCCTTTCGTCAGGTCCTCGTATAACCTGTACACCGTACTGGCTCTACAGTGGTTGGAGAGTGGGTTGCCTGTGTAAGTCTTCGTAATCTAAATGGAGTGCGTGTCTTTCGTCGTCATGTTATCCACAATTCTGCGCTAGTTTAATCACAATTTAACTACAATTAAAAAATAGGGGTAACCATGACATCTGCAGGTTCGAGTTGATATTGTTCATCATACCATAACACATCACCTATTCATTCCTACAACGAGCTTATAAGATTCAGCAGTAAAGATCGCCAACTATAGCTGACCTGGTAAAAGGCACACGCAAGATGCTACATGCTTGTGCTCCCCTTCACGCTGACTCTGATACACAGTAGCTTAAAAGATGCTTGTTCTCTCTCGACTGAACATCGCATACCCTCTAATTTTACACATTGCTGACAGGTCCTGTGCTTTGTGACATCAGTTGAGCATGGGATGATGGAAGTATCGAATTGTTTTGTACGCAATTTCTTTTTAAGGAACGTACAACAGCAGTGATTCGCGAGTGGTCGCCCATCTAACTGCTAAATTTATACCCTACTGAAGAAATGTAGACTATATTAGGTGTGGTAGGGCCTTATCCCTAGTAATAGTTTTAAAGCTTTTAGAGATTTACTGAGGTAATTAGTGCGTGGAAAAGGGGATAAGGTTAAATCAAGCTTAACCTTTTGCCCATTCTTGTTAGGATTGTAGTTGTACCTACCTTAGGGATGGAGCTGCAAAATTTGAATTATTCATACCACCTCTTTACTTCTACTCTCCTCCCAGTAATTGCAGGCATACATGCAATCTTCCTAGCCCTTCTATGTCACACTGAATATCCCCGACCATAATCCTTATGCTCTCTAATCTCTTAGCCCTCTGTGCTCCGTTTTCTGTGCCATTCTTATATATCATAGGGTCTTCAAAGTATATTGAGTCCCTTGTTAGGCTACTTACAAAACCTAGTACCACAGGAGCGCGACACATGGCGCGCATGGCGAGCGCAAAGACAGCCGCCATGAACATGACGCCGACGGATACGAAGTGAATGGAGAGCCAGAAGCGGTCAATGACATACACTGCCGGTAAAAGATATACGATCCGGGACGTCGTGTTTCGCTATGCTTCTAGGGGAGAGATGTTAGTTCCGATCATCGGTGGAACCAAGGCGCCACCTATGACGCTTTCTTGACTCCACGCAACTTTCCACAGGGTGTTCCTCAGTAGCGAGAATTGACTTTCGAACGTCTTAATGTCAAGGTAGCCGAGCTCTGTAATGTTACGATGGCCTATCGCCTTCGTGAATGCGCCTAGCGAATTCTCGATGTAAGCTTCCGTCACGCTCCCCCCACCAGACTCAGGCTGACTCTCATCGAGTACATCCATCAAGTACCGTAGGTGAAGCTATTGAAAGACTGTTGGGTGTAATCCAGTAAATTCAAATCTGGGTCGGCTGGAGGATTTGGCCTTCGTCTAATGGCATCGACGCCGCAACTCATTCGGCCTGGCGCACCTTTTGAGATGCAAGTCACGTTCACATCAACGTATGTCGTACGCGAAGTGCATCTTGTGACATGCAAGCGTGTCCATAATTTGCCCCGAGACGCAAAAATAAACTACGTCGTGTTAGGCTTAGACGTCATATTCCTCAACATATGAGCCAGGAAGAATGTGCGAGGCTCCTTCGAAAGCTCATCCCTTCCTTGGGCTTCTTGTGACAAGCTGGTAGTCCTTGTACCAGTTGACGTAACCAACTTTTGCGTGCTGAGAGTAATTCTTGCCAGTATTTTCTATGAGCCAAGGATCCGCGTCATTGTTCTCAGGGAGGGGTTCCTGGCCGTGTGAAGTGGAGACATTGAGTTGGAACCACGGTGCACACTGTGATAATATAATGAGCTCTTCGGCCATCCAAGCAAGATGAACCAACGCACTCACTTTAAATTATCTGGTAGCTAGATGAGCTCTGGAAAGTTGTATTACCCGTAAAAGCGCGGTCAACGCCGTCCACGCGCTCACCCACCAGGCTACTCTAGAGAAGTTCGTCATCTTTTCATTCCATGGTGTTTCTAAGCAATTGTGGGGATCATCCCAGTTGCTAATGCGCTTTCATTGGGTGTTCATGATCGCTCATGTGTGTGGAGAGATGGGAATGGGTTCGTAAAGCCGCCTGCGACTCTTGATTCTTGATTGACCAAGTGCACATCGCCATTGTGCTATGCCATGAATGTCGTTGTTTTCTTGTATCGCGGGCCCTGTTGCGTTCTGACGTGCTTGCCTCGCGCCAGTCACTTCTTAGGGAAACGCCATCACGTCACTGCATCTTACACCCGACACCGTATTAGTTAACGTCATTATGATGCGCCGCTGACAAATGTAAATACATTTGCTGCTTCGGTGCGCTCCTTTCCCACATCGCAGTTCTCATTGCTGTTCGATTCGCGCTTGCTACCGTAATATCTCAAGGCGGATTGTTCTCAGACGAGCAAGGACCTCTACTTGCACTATTCGCTTCGCGGCCAGATGCTGGCAAATTGTTTCTTTTGGGAGATAAATCCAACTGAACATTTGATACCTAAACAAGTAGGTCTGGAGAGGGAGATGTGCTCCTCAACGGATAAACAATAAACTGCAACATTGGCTGACTCAGTGCATATGTCCCCATCATCTCTTGTATTGTCCGAGAATCCTATAAAAAATTGAATGCTTATATTTGCCATGTCGCACATGACCATCTGTGATGCATCTTCACTGGCCAGATATCAGACTGCTTGTCTGAGGGCTTTGCATCATTTCTAATCAAATCGATCAAGCGGCCAATGGTCACCCTCATAACATCTTCAGTCTGCAAGCATGGGTTTCTGATGGGCCTTACGACCGCGTCTGACTGTATTTCAAAGCTGATTCTTCTAATTTCTACCACATTGCGTGTCGTGGGGAAGGTCAAAAGCCGACATTTCATTCGGCAACACATTGACCATACTATACACAATCTGGTGTATATAAGGGCCTCAAAAGGCTCCTCTTGAGTATACCAAACAAACTTCAAACGTTGCAAGCGAAGACCATACACTCAAGACTGGAATATTCAATTTACACAATGGCGACAGCAGCAACAATCCCACCCTCTGCTACGCATACGCAAAATCTTCAAACTCTTCAGGACGCAACATCGACCGCAAACTCCAACCCTCAAGACGTACAGACCTTACTTCGTTACTACAAACCGAACGAAGATGGCTCACCACCATTGCCATCATACATCGACCGGCCCGAGACGTATCAGCAACCCTCTGAACTCCATCCTGTCACAGTCCATGATGTGAGAGGCCGAGAAAAAGATTTCACGCTGGATAAGAACGGCTTCCAGTTCTATTGCCACACTGCGCAGGAGAAGGACTTTGTCGATGATGAAAAAATCAAGACTGGGTACTATGCCGAGACTGAGCAGCTCTTGAAAAATGTGTGAGTATCCGTTCTCATATCTCTCATGCGGGGAGGGTTGCTGATCCAAGGCAGTACTGGTGCATCACGTGTCTTCGCCTTCGACCACAACGTCCGCCGCCAATTGCCCGGTGACAGCCCAAATGACCGCATTATTCGCGGCCCTGTGCAGGAAGTACATATCGATCAAACGGACGCAGCCGCATTCTCGCGTGTCCGATACCATCTGCCCGAAGAGGCGGAGAAGTTGCAGCGCAGCCGTGTACAGATCATCAATGTCTGGCGTCCGATCAAGACGATCGAACGCGACCCGCTTGCTGTGGCGGATGCAGGCAGCGTCGATGACAAGAGCTTGGTTGTGACGGAGTTGATATACCCAGATCGGAAGGGAGAAACCTACTCGGTAAAGCATGATCCGGGGCATCGGTAAGTTTTGCGATTTCGCGAGTTGATGGCCGCGGCTAATTCAGTGTAGATGGTTTTACAAGTCTGGACTTACGCCAGATGAAGTCTTGATATTCAAGTGCTTTGATTCAAAACTGGATGGCAGAGCAAGAAGGGTTCCACACACCGCGTTCCATGTTCCGGGTACTGAGCACAAAGAAGGTCGTGAGAGCATCGAAGTCAGAGCACTAGTTTTCCACGAAGATGAGAGTCTAGAATGAATGATCAAGTATAAATAGGCAATCCGAACTTGGAAATTCTAGTCAAATTTAGTAGCTTCTTCACTCAAGTATGAAATTTTGTAAGCGAGATCGAACATGAAATGTGGGTAAATGTTCCAGCACAGAACGTCAACTTGGACCACATGTCTAAATACCGAAAAATAGCACGACATCTGGAACCCTATACAGGATGATAGGATCTATGGGCCAGTTGTGAGCTATTGTGCATCAAACCGACTCGGTCACTTTTCTCAATTCTATGCATTTGTACAGAGATTTATCGCTCTACCGCTTAAGTTCGACTGACAATCACTACGGTACAAAACCGGTTTACAGTAGCCATATTTATCTAAAGTAGACTAAGAAGTGGTTTAGGTAGAAGAAGTAAACCTAAATAGGGTTTATTATACTATGTATTCCACAAAAGTAAACTACTTTTATTTCTACTTCTATTAATCTACTAGTATTACGTAGTACTGTAATAACTAGTTTCCTACTAACTATCTAAGTATTTTACCCCTCCTTTCTTTAATCTTCTTCACCACCTCTACCACCACCTCTACCACCACCTCTATCACCACCTCCACCACCTCTATCACAACCACCACCTCCACCACCTCTATTACTACCACCACCTCCACCACCTCTATTATCACCACCTCTACCACCTCTACTACCTCCACCACCTCCACCACCTCCACCACCTCTATCACCACCACCACCTCCACCACCTCTATTATCACCACCTCCACCACCTCTACTACCTCCACCACCTCTATCACTACCTCTATCACCACCTCCACCACCTCTACCACCACCTCTATCACTACCACCACCTCTATCACTACCACCACCTCTATCACTACCACCACCTCTATCACCACTACCTCTATTATTACTACCTCCTATTATCACTACCTCCTATTAGTAAAAATATTATGACTTATTATTATGTTATATGTGCGTATAGCGTGAAGCTAATCTTTTCTACCCCTTTTAGTCTTAGTTAGGTATTATAGCGTATAATAGAAATAAAACTACTTTTTATACTTAATATAAACCCCTACTATAAAAGTAAACCACTACTTTAAACCTATTTACGGGTATACACGAGGTCAGTTTACACCTATATAGTAAACCCCTAGCGTACCATTCTACAGTAAACAATTTTTTACCGTAGTGAATAAACAGTGCTAGAAAATCATGAATTGATTTGAATTGTACAATGATGATGATATGCAATCCGGTAACTGTGTCGGGAAGTTCGAGAGGGCGATCAAAAGTCGGATAACAACGAAGTATATAGTAGCATGATGCTTCTAGTCCGCGGATTGATAGAAGACCTAGAGCATGGACAATCACGTTGAAATTAGAGTAGAGATACCAATTAAATCCTTGATGATAGACAAGTACTACGGCCCGAGGAAATTCTCATTTTGATACTACGTCATTGCGCTAATCTCTGTCTATGAAGCGGGCCGTTACGGTAGCGTTTCGTCCCGAGTTGTGACTAGAACAGTTGTGACCTGCACAACATCGCAGCCTCACGAAAGAAGGCATAATAACAGAATTTTAGATCTTTGTTGGATTATTTCCTAGACACAATATTCAGAGAATACTGGACACTGGCTAAGGTCTAGTAAGCCCTTGGGAACGTTTTCCAGATACGAAATATCTATGCGTTCAACGGGGCATGTGGTATGGGTCCTCAAAGAACATGTTGCTACTGCCAGCAGAGAAGTTTCGACGAATTTGCTCAGCCTTAAGAGAAGCGGACCTTGTTCCTGATGTAGCAGTCCAACGAAGTGATTGAAGGTTACCTCAGTCATGGACAGCAAGCTATGCGCGTCAGAGCAGAAACTTCCCATGTAGCCATGACGCACTCACACATTATCAGTCAAGGAAATGTCCCCAAAAGAAGGTCCAGACGGCAGAAGAGCAAGAATACCAATACCATAGCTGTCGATTAAGATGTAGAGATATCTTGCCAACTTGCGAAGTCGCTTCACTTTGCGACGAGCCTTCTTGAATTCTTCAGAACCGGGCTCTATATTAGGCATTATCCTGTAAACTAGCTGGTCTGTAAGACTTGCATCTAGAGCCAAAATAGGATTCCCTGCGTTTAATCTGCCTGGCAATCCAATTGTGTGGGGAGTTTCCACGATAATCTGATTGCATCGGCGCTGTTCCTCTCTTTCATTCTCACATAGATTGATGGTATGGTATCGTCGCATGAGGATGTTCAGTGATTCAACACCTTCGAGACGACAAATCTCACGGTAAGTCTCGGCAGCAGTCCCTGGCTGTCTGCAAATGACTGGGAGGCTGCGCGCCAATCGAAGTTGGCCCTGGAAGTCGTCAAGAACTTGCCAACTTCCTGTAGCCAAGTACAAGAAGCGAAGCAACATGGTTGGCTTGTTTTCCGGCTTACAGACTTGAGGGATTTCTAAGAACCTGGCCAATTCATCTTTCCGAAGTGGGGCGACACAATCCAACTTTTGCTGCTCTGAGCACAGCATGCTGCTGTATATTGGATGATCCTTTCCTCGAGTGCCTTGGAATCGTTTTCTCTTCAAGCATGGACTTGATGGTGTCGCATTTCTGTTGGCATTTCGTGATTCCTCTGGAGAAGAGAAGGCAGGCGTCTCATCAAAGGCGTCGTGGCTCTTGTGGGGTACTTCTTCAAACTCGGCACCCGTTTTTGCGTTGGCCAGCGTTAGGAGGGACGCGCCAGAGTCTCCCACAAGACTAAATCCAGACAAGTGGTCATTCGTAGTTTCAATTGGAAAGTCAAGTGGGGATCTGTTCGAGAACCCCGGTTGTTCCAGGACAAAATCATGGCAGGTGTCATCAAACACCCACTCGGACCATCCTTGTGCAAATCTTCCAATATCGTCGAGCTCTGCCCCAAAGCTGGCCGTCGGAGTTCCGGATTCCGCAAGCGAATCTCCAAATAACTCACATTTCTCATAGTTCATCTGCATTAGAGCACTGTCTTCGCCTGCCAAGAGTGAGGAATTGGTCAAGGCATCATCTATGCTACGCAGCACTTCCCAGAGTGTACGACGAGTCACAGCCGTGGTCTTCCCGCGGTCTTCACAGTCCAGCCAAACAGCTCCAATTAGTGCACTGAGAGCGTTGTCGAGCACAGCATCAGACAAGGACTGATAGTGTTGCCGAGTACTCCTAACGATGAAAGGTTCAAAACCTAACGACCTGCACGCGGCTGCTCGACCTTTCTTTGTATTCCACCAATGGTTTCGAACATGAAGATCATCTGTACTTGATCTTAGTATCGTTGGATGACGGACACGCGCCAACTCACGTAATGTCTTTCCACTTTCGACAATAACGTTGTGGGTTTCTACCATCGATATTGCTAGAACCCCGTAATGAGCAAGGCCCCTGTTCCCATCATTGCCCTCTCCAGTATGCTTATCTCTGTGAGCTGACCTGAGAGCAAGCTCCACGATCTGTTCATTCTCGAATGCATAGTTGATCCGAGATTGGACAAAGATGGACATCTAGTTCATAAATGTTGGAGATGGAAAATCCGTGATTGAATCTCGTGAACAAGGTGCAACTAAGCAGACGAGTACATTAGCATATTTGATCAATGTTTTCGTTGATGTTGCATCGAAGGCAATGCACCCATGTATTGCCCCTTAGCTGCTTTGGTGAAGTATCCGGGGGAGCGTATTGCTCCCGATTATGGGATTGGCTGAGATGCTACATGAGAGGTGTCCATGAATCTGACTAGCCCGATAAAGGATGTTGCGAATACTCATGATTGCAACGTTCCCGAAGCAGTATAACGCGGATGGCCCAACTGGAGAGCCACATATTGCAGGCGTATTCTGGCTACACAACAGCCTCCTGTGCGCCAATAGCACTCTTTCAGTCGCTGCAAGATTGTGAAAGCATGTCCATAAACACTTCTGACTCTATAGTCGACCATTCACGCATAGCAGTGCTCTTCATGAATGTACACACCCGGCACAAATATTTGTATTCGCTAGAATCTGGAACTTGGATTTGCACGTCCCTTGTTTTGTTTATAACATATATCGTAACATGATATGTCATATTATGTTACACGATAGAGTATGCTTGACTTGGTGATTGATTCTAGACTCACTGGAAATTTCGACCTTACTTCACCTACCTATAAAAATGAGTTACGAGGTTTTTTCCGTTAGATCATGCATTGTATAATCGTCTACCCCTATCGTCTACCCCTACTGCATGAGAATTAGGCATCTTTAACCCAAGCAAATAGTAACCCGTGCTTCAGGCTAAAGCATGGATTCCATTCAAGTGGATCGAAGTCAATGAAGGTACAAGCCTCAATAACTAATAAAAATATCAAGAAGAAAAGTTTACTGAAATACATATGTTCAACAATTGCGGTTGAACAGGGTACACAAACAGCACGCAGAACACCTGTCATGGATGTACGACATCATGGGAAAGATACCTTCGGGAATTCAGCCTTTGGCATGTCGTGAAAGCACTTCATTTAGACTTAGTCTGGCATCGCTTCATCTGCATGTCTCCGTCATACATGAATTCAGCGCTGTTGAATCTGTCAGATTCTAGCCAGCGGAGCAGGGCCGCAAAAGTGGTACTACCAATGCTGCATGACTGGGAATGTTGGCCGGTAGGGCCAGTACTTGAGCATTCATGGGTGATTGTTGCACGGCGACAAGTGCCCCTCCATATATTTACTTAAAGCAATCGTTTGAGCCGTCTCAGGCGCTGTAGACATTTTTCGAGAGCCCTCTTTCATGACCACTTGTTGAACGACCAATACGATCCAGTACCCTAGTGTTCATTCCGATTTCGATCAAACATGGGAAAAAAGAAAGACTTCCGACCAAAGAAAGCAGCAAAGACCTCTCGCATGTACCCAACGCTGCATGAGAACGTTGCAAACTCTGTGCTCGAATACATCGGCACAATACGGTTCCACCACGAGGACAGCGATGAAGATTGCACGAGAAGATGTAACACTTTCGTCAGGGGCGAATTCAAATGCTACAACCCCAAATGCCACGGAAGCTTTTGGACTAGTGGGAAAGTCGCCATATCAATTAGGAGATATTTGGGACATGATTACAATGCTGTCGTCTTTGGCCAACGCTGTAAAGGTTGCAACCAGTTAGGCGAATTCAAGCTTGATGAGGAGACATACATCGATCGAGTCTCGTACAGGCTTAAAAAATGGGCGGGTGTTCAGATGGAGCTACCACCTTTTACTGTGAGAAGCACGCCACCTCACAAAACACACTTGTGTGAAGGTTGTAAGCGTGGCATCTGCATGAAAGCATATTAGGGAAAGTAGCGAAATTCAGGAGGAGTTGTAAAAATGCAAACTTGCACAGAGTATAAATTGTGCGCATGCTGAGTGAAGTTCGATTGGCAAAAAACATACAACAGCGGGGATTCGCTAGTGGTCACCCACCTAACTACTAATCCGCCGGTACACTGCTTATATATGGCTGAGCGGACGGGAAGCCTAGTTTTCAGTGTCCTATGGTCGTATGTGGAAGGATTCGTTGACCGATAGCTATATATCGCATAGTTTCATGATCTTTGTACGAGGTACCTGACTTTTCCGACTTTGCCCATATTCAACTTCTGTAAATATCATCAACAGCTTCAAATAGAGACGAGACGTCTAGTTGCCAAAAGCCTAAGAAGCTGAACGCTATCATTTCATTATTCAGCACTGCAAGCTGCTATAAGCGGTGATGCCCCCTGGTGAGTTACTAGGCATCCGCGACACGCAGTGGCTCAAAAGTGAAAAGATCCAATTTGACAATAGAATAGATGACTTTCAGACATTGCAGATGTCGAATACATCAATGTGGTGCATCGTAGCAAAACACACGCTCACTCCTTGATGTGACGTGGTGCTGTCGCTGCCGGGCGCCTGATCGACTGGCACCCTTGCGACCAATCATCTGACTATTCGAGCCAGCGCTAGACCGATGCAGATGACTATTCGATGAGACACACGCAATGGGCCAGACAGCCTAAGTCGCGACGAGTACTTCAGGTTCTGGCCTTGACTATAAAGATGATGAAATTACCTATGTGGGGTCTCTTTGTGTGGCTTTTGGTTTTGAATGAAAGATGTCAGTCAGGAGAAGCAGGTACTGTATGCCCGCATGCCCGCATGCCCGCAGTCTCTCCTCATAACACAGAACACGTGTTATGCAATAGGCAATTGGGTTAGAAATGACAAGCCCGTGACTATGAGCATCTTGATGGCAGACTATCTGGATAAGATGTGCTGCGGAGCATGTTGTGGTGGACATCTTGTGGAGGAGGCACAGCCGGCTAGCTATCTTCAATGAGTTTGAAGGATTACAAGCCACATCATAAACCATTAGGCACGGGTTTGTGGGCATATCACCATCCTTGGATGGATTCTTTTAGGGGATTGAAGCCAATACTCACGACTAATGCTGAAGTAGAAACCCGCAAAGTGGTGTCCTGTACTTTCTCTCTGTGACTGAGTGTGGAGCCATGTCAGCCTGCGCGATTTGCTGAGCTTATTTCCCCCCGAGCAAACTTGCTGAGTTGTAAAAGCCTGATGCTCCCGAGACAGGGACACAGCTTAGTGGATTATTGGCAACATGGAGAAGATGTTCATGTCGCAATTCATCCCTTATGACGGGACGAAAGAGCGAACGTAGAAGTAGCGACAATTCTCAAGCCGCCCCGTAATCCAGCTCACCTGACACAAACAGCCACGTCACAGAGTGCCGCCACCGAAGACAGCGGAGACTCTGATTATGTTCCGAATTAGAATGCGCACAAGTGCCTAGGCAGCAGAGCTTCAGGAGACAGTTTACACAGTAGAATAGCGATATTCCAGTCGAGGTTGTGGAGAAGGTGAGGTCGTGTCAAAACCTACAAGCTGCTTGAGGTGGGGAGAGACGCGTGTGCGATCAAAACACCAAGCTCTTTGCCATACCCAAGGACAAAAGTCTGCCTCTCGATGCCTTTGTGAGATGAGAACTGTGATAGGACGCACGGTAGAACATGATCGCGTAAGTCGTTTCCACAACAAACGATTCGAGTGCCCATGACCGTCCTATTTTAAGCTCTGGGGCAACGCATGAGCGAGCAAGAAGGCGCCGTGCTTCATGGTCGGCCAACGTGAACAACAGGTAGATGGGCAGCAGCAGCAGCAGCAGCAGCAGCAGCATCCTCATTCTCGTGTCATGCGTGGCAAGTCTGCGCAAGAGAAAAGACCGAATGTGTCTGCTGATGGTGAGGCAGCCGACATTCTCTAGCCATGGCCGAAAACATCATGGACGATGATGTGCAGGGACGAGTTGGGGGTTGGGGGATGGGGGGAAAGGAGCTGGCATGAACGACATCGCTTCCCGAACAGCAGCCATGGAATACCCCGACAAAAACGAGAATGCCAGTGTCGCGCCGCGCCCAGTTATCGAGCAGCTTTAGTCTGACTTGAGATCAAATTGGCAGCGAAAGGACAAAATCTTTCCTAAATAGGAATGGACGATTGTCGTCGGGTGTGGTTGATCTGGACGGCAGCTGGCTGTTTTGGCGCGCCTATATAACAGCCGGCCCCGCCCAACGCATGCGGCTTGCTCAAACCCAGTGACTACCTGCTCGACCACCACCACCAGCCTCGTCTCCTCCTTGATCACATCTGTCCGACCTCCGACCCCTCGTTCCACCCAGATCGTCACAGATCTATCCCACCATCCAACCCAAATCAAGCCGAAACAATGCCTCCCAAGAAGTCCACCACCGATGCGCCCGCTCCCAAGAAGAGCGGCACCGCCTCTGCACCCGCTCATGCTTCCTACATCGGTATGTCGCTGCACATGTCTCTCCATGCCACCCCATCGCACTGCGAGCGCGTCTGTTGCATCATGATCGCCTGTCCATGCTGACTGTTTTTCTCCAGACATGGTCAAGGACGCCATCATCAATGTAAGTCAATGTCTTGAGGCGCATTGCGCCCCCGCACCTGCGCCTGCCATGCCTTTCCACCCAACCCCGACTCGAAGCACCCAGCCTATTTTCAAACCCACGGAATCCGATTGCTAACCTGTCTTTCCCTCACAGCTCAAGGAACGCAATGGTTCAAGGTTAGTCAAATCCCTCCAAAGTTCCTCGTGTTGGTGATGTTGAGCCATGCTGCCACTCTGTACCCTAGAACAACGCGCTAACCCCGGTCTCTATGCAGCCGACAAGCTATTCAGAAGTACATCCAAGCCAACAACAAGGTTAGCAACCTGAGCGACGCACAGTTCAGGAATCACGTCAACCGTGCCATTTCCTCTGGCGAGGACAAGGGTGAATTCACACGGCCCAAAGGCTCCTCAGGACCCGTGAAACTGGCGAAGAAGGAGGCCAAGTCTGCTGCCAGTTCCGACAAGAAGGATGCAAAGCCCAAAGCAGAGAAGAAAGCCGCTGCACCCAAGAAAGCTGCCGCTGCCGTAGGTTCTGAATCTTGCTTCTCTCGATTCATCGCTGACCTTTTCGCAGAAGCCCAAGGCCACTACTGCAAAGAAGGCAGCAGCACCTAAGAAGCCAACAGAGAAGAAGGCTGCCGCCCCTAAAAAGGCTGCTACCGCTGCTAAGCCAAAGGCAAATGCTAGCCAGCCCCGCAAGACGGCCCCAGCAGCACCTGCTGTCGAGGACTCTGTATCACGTGTTCTGGGCAAGACAAAGTCTGGACGTGTCACCAAGACCAAAGCTCCCGCTGATTCAAAAGCCCCAAAGAAGGCGGCTGCCCCCAAGAAGGCAGCAGCAACGAAGAAGACTACACCAAAGAAGGCTGCGCCAGCAAAGAAAGGAACACCTACGAAGAAGACGACACCAAAGGCCAAGGCGTGAATACCCCAACCTTGAGCCTATTCACCATCTTTTTTGATCTTTCCTCCATCTAGCGACCTGTGGTCTATTCGACAGATTCCGACGCGAACATTATAGTCGGATCACCGCTCTTGCAGCCAGTTTTGCGCTTTGATGGGCACTTGCGATATCCTTTTTCTGTCTCTATACGACTCTCTCTGTTCTCATGGTGGGCGACTGGCACGGTAGGGATTACAAGGTAGGACCGAGTGTGTTCATCTGAGGCTATGCCCATCGGTTATATCATGTTGGCGGGGCGTTTGGGCGTGTATTGCCACCATCACTGTATTGCTTCTTTTTTCTTGCGTAAATGCTTCGGAGTCTTATCCGTATAGTACAGGGAGGATAGCTACTCTACGACGTGATGCACTCGTCTCAGGAATGGAAATCCAAACACACTTCAAACATTGGCGCGTCTTGAGGAGCTGTGACTGTGACACCCGCTGCCGAGGTCTGTGGTATAGACGGGTTGCACGCAGGGGAACGAAGGCGTTGGTGACATGATGGCCTTGAAGGACAATACTTTCTGTTGCTCGGGCACCACATTCCATGTATGATCTTGGAAAGGTCAAGGCATTCGCTCTTCTACCATACTCTTTTTTTTTTCGTTCGCTTACCTTTCAACTGTTCGATGTAGCCTACCATCTCTTGTGTCGAACTTGATTGAACAATCTCCGGTCTCCGGCGACAATTATTGGACGCTTGAGAATGTGCGACTGCAGTCGGATATATGGATACTTTATTGCACGGCACCGTACTTTCCAAGACCAAACCTACGTTTTGTAGGGGCGGTGCTTCAACATATCTTACATGTCTTATAGTCAATGCATGAGAATGCACAGAGCAGTTCATTGCATCGAGTACAAGGTCGCTCGGAATTCAGAGTCACATTGGTCGTCTTCAATTCATAGTTGCTCATGATTTCATTGTCAGATATTAGCAGCTCGTAAGCTGCTCATAACCACGATTCCTCATCAGACCAATGACACTCCTCCCTTGTTTCTCTCCATGTCTTTCCAACAAAGCGCTTATGCGGCGATGGTGACCTCGACCTCGACACCAGCCTCGATGTTGATGATGATCTGCTTAACGACCTCGGTGGGTGCGTGGAGATCAATGAGGCGCTTGTGGATGCGCATCTCAAAGGTGTCCCAGGTCTTGGAACCCTCACCACAAGGGGTCTTGCGGGTGGTGATCTTCAAGTGCTTGGTGGGCAAGCGGACAGGACCCTTGACGCGGAGCTCCTTGTTCTTGGCACGGTCGATGAGCTCCTGGCACACCTTCTCGAGCGACTTGACGTTGCGCGAGGTGAGAGTGATGCGGATCTTGTGGATCTTGGGACCCTCGCCGAAGTCCTTCTCAGGCTTGTCTGGGTTCATGTTAGACGTGAAGGCGTGATGAGTAGTGAGGCATAGCATACTGTAAGACATGATGTCGAAATTGGAGTGTAGTGAATTGAAGGTGCTGAATGAGTTACAGTCACGACCTGGATCCTTGATCACGGTAATGTGATGACTGGTGTGGTTTGCGTGCGACGGCGTTGTCGTTGAAGATCGGAATGTTGAGATTCGCGACTATCAAATTCGTTGTGTGCGCCAAGATTGCAAACGCTAGCACCACATCGGGTATCGCTCTCTTTGGAGACCACGCTTATGAGCCATCATGAGTCCATGACGAAAGACGAGCAACAAAAATAAATCACGAGGGGCCGCTGTTGTAACGCCAGATTGACATTGATATTTTCAGAAAAGACACACACACACACAAAGATTTCCACTTTGATACGGCCACATCATGCCTTTACCCCACTTCGCGCCATTTCCAAATGCCAAAGTCAGACGCAGTGTTCAACCAGACGAATGGCAGCTATATCTGGAGTCCTGGTCATCATTGGCAGATCTCTATCTAAGAGTTGAAGACCATCAATTTGTCTCAGCAGCCAAGAATGAAGAATCTTTAACCTCTTTTCTCTCATCGTTCTATCATGAGTTGGCCAATGACGACAGTTTGGGGGCTCAGGTAATTACACTGAGGAAAAAGTGCTTCTTCCTAATACACAGACTGTTTTCTTTGGGAGTCCAAAACTCAACCCTCACCAGTTGGACAACCTTGTCAGACATCTGTCATGCCTATCCAAAAAGCAAGCAATTCCACGCACTACTCCACAGCCTATGGGTACAAAGTGGCAGCGTTGTCGAAAAATCTTTGCAAACAGCAAAGAACTCGCTGATCCACAACCTGGAGTCAAAGAGACCGGAAGAAGCAGAAAGTACCCTCGACCGATTAGCACCCTTGCTCAAGATTTCCCCAGACGCCAGCGTCTACATGCTCACCGGATCCGACTTCTTAGATTCCTTATATGTAGCGTATGCAAAAGTACCACAGTCAATGCAAAAGAAACTGGCCACTATCGCCTATTTGGGTCTGATCGCAACATTGGAGGGGCAGAAACCAAACTATTCACTTCTATCAGATCACTTATACAGCCTCAAGGCCAGCGAAGAGCAAGCGCAGAAGCTGGAGCCAGGGAAAAAGACACTGGTCGCAGATCTGGTCACCAATACTCCCATATTAGAGAAGATAAGAGAGAAAGCGACAGCGCCCGAGGCGATAAGAGTGAAGAATACGGCAGCGTCACTGAGCGTATTCCGACAACCTGGAATGTCTCGACCCAAAAGGCTCATTCGACGAAAGATTGACAAAGGCAAGGGCACCCTAACGCAGGATAATTACGGACATAACGTGTTAAACGATGATGTACATGTTCACCGCATGAGTATGATCACACAAATACAAGATCTGTTTCCGGACTTTGGCGCTGGGTTCATCATCAAATTATTGGATGAATATGGCGAAAACATCGAGCAGGTCACTGCACATCTACTGGAAGACACTCTACCTCCACATCTTGCAGGTGCTGACCGTAGTGAGAAGTTGTATGTCTTGCGTCTTTTCTATCTCTTGAGCATATACCTGGAGCTTTTGCTAACATGTTTCAGACCCGCAACATCAGCAATCGATCACTCAAAACTACCACCAAGATCGAGTCAGCCATTATCATCATACGATCAACAGCTACCAGCACGGCGCAATGTCTTCGATGATGATGAGTTTGACAGGCTTGCAGTTGATAGCTCCCGTCTTCATATTGGACGTCAAGGCCAAGATCTTAACGCAGACAAGATACTCTCCGATCGCAGTCAAGCTCCGACAAAGTCTGCCATTCTAGCTGCCTTGGCCGTTTTCGACTCAGATGATGATGAGCGCGACGATACTTATGACGCAGAAGACGTTGGTGCCTCGGTCGACACGGCTGCACCTGGTGCAGATGAAGCTGACGCTGACCTCCGTGACAAGAATGAAGAAGCCTTGTTCCGTGCCTACAGTATGAATCCTGAAATGTTCGGCCGCGAATCAGACATAAGGAGAGGGAAAGCACGCGTGGCTTTGAAAAGCGAGACAGGTATGACAGATGAAGCCATTGAAGGCTGGGCCATCATGATCGGACGCGATCCCAAGCGATTACGCCGTCTTGAAGCGAAGTTCTCCGCTTTTACAGGCCAGCAGCGAGAATTGCACTCTACATCATGGAAGGATAGTGGAGATGACCACAATGCCGAAGGACAGAATGGTCGTGGGGGGTTTGGCGGCCGTGGTGGGGGGAGAGGTAGAGGACGTGGTGGCCCTAGTAGGGGAAGAGGTGGCAGTGTCGCTGGCCCCAATGATGACAAGGGCACACAGGTTTCGCGGCAGAAAAAGGAGGCCAACAAGGGGTCGAATGCGAATCATAACCGCAAAGCGCAACGGGGAAAAAAGATGGCCAGAGCAGGGTTTCCAAGTTAAGGCAATGTATGTTGCTGACCGAGCTTATGGTCCTGTGGGGTATTAAAATCACGGGATCACCAGCGTCTTACACCCTAGTCATCTAACAGCGTTGCATGTAACGTGGTAGAGTATTTTCTTCTACACTTGAAGGAGTTTAGCACCAACAACAAATATCATACGGGGCGAAGCGAGGGAGCGTGTGTCGGATGTCAGCGCGTTTCAATGCGTTTACCGGTGAGTAAGGTATCTCGATCTTCTCTTTTGGAAGTATAAGGCACTATCGTCACAGAGAGGGACAGTTGGGTCGGACAACATGATGTCGTTGTCGTTTTTATGATAGCAAGGATTTTGTCGAGCAATAATATGAATAACGACATTGCCATGCTCAATCAACCAGCACTACCGGTAGCTTGCGCCATGATAAGAGAAAGCATCACACTTCAAAAAGCTCCGTCCCAGCAAAAGTCCTGCTAGGTACGAAAAGGCTCAGTTGTATGCTTGACAACGAATGTCTCTTCTCTGCTGCTCTCAGGCCTCATTGCAATATAATTTACACATTTACGCACGTACATACGGAGGACGCGATGGCTGGGTTGTCAATTCCGATTCCTGTTTCCCCCTTCCCTTGGCACATTTCGCGGAATTTCAGCCGGTTGAACGACACAAAACTTATGCTCTTGGATCCTCGTCTCGGATCCCTTTGCAAACATGCATGAAACAATCGAGGTCATTGTGACTAAAAGTGTACAGTACGCACAGTCTCCGAGGTATTTATTTGACCACACATTGCCGTTCCAGTACCGGCACGCCCACATGAAGATGCTCCTCGAATACCTGCAAATGTCAATCCCACTCCTGAGTAGGCATGAGATTTGCATTTTCCAAATTGATACCAGTACTATATACAAACAAGCATCATCTCTGTTTTGTGCGACTCCCCCTCCAGGCTCAAGACCCTGCACCGCATAGAGTAGGTAAGTTGCCTACCACCACGCAAACAAGCCGCCCCGCCGATGTAACCTCAGTCTCATTGCCTTCCTTCCGCGGCGCCACAACCCGTCACTTGAACCACCACACATCCAGCGTCGACGTCGTCCAACATGATCATGATGTTCAGATCACTCCCTGTGGCGTGTGGGGACGCTATCCAGCCCGCCCGCTTAAACAGACCCCCTTGGCTAGCACAGTGCTACGCTCAGTGCGGTAAGATCAAGCGAGCGGGTTGAAAGCCCCCAGGTTCTGGCTGGCTGGATCACAAGACCGCGAGGGCTTCTGGAAACAGGGGTGAGCGAGCGAGAGACATCCAGGTCGTGTAAACGGCGAAAGGGTAGGGGTAGACGACGGGTAGGAAGGGAAGTAGAGTAGGTTAGGTAGAGTAGATGCATGTAGAGAAGGCGAGCAGTGGAGCCGGTTTAAGTGGACTGGGATTTGGCACACCCTTGAAAGTCGGGGGTAGTTCCCACTTTATAATTGCTGTCGCATTATTGTCATACAATTAATTGTTTTTCCTGAACAATAATGCAGACAAGATGGTCAAAAGTATGCATCTGCTCGAAGACAAAACACCAATAGCAGACCTTCTCAATCGCCTACCTACTCACCCCACGCTCTTCGGTATCCCTCTATACCTACAACGTGAAGCCTGGCATTCCTACTCACATTGACTGAGCACCATTTTGGCCTCGCTACACATGCATCGCACTCGCCTGCCCCCGTCCCTGCATGTCTGCAACATCAAGCGAAATTGTGGCTCTCGATCGGATTTCCTCACTCTCAGATCAGAAATCACTTCGTAGTGATGACGTATATGCAGAAGAGCATCGTGCGCTGTACCTAGACTTTCGGTAATGGCGATCTCCAAGAAACGCCCCGTTCGGCAAAACCAAAGCATGCGGAAATCTCGAATGCTGGTTTGGGGGACAAACACGTGGCAATGCCGAACGCAGAGGTACTAAGATGGTAAGCTGACAGCATGAAAGATGATGATGGTGTATGCACATGTGTTGAAATGGTCGGGCTTGAATGGAAAGCATGTAGATTGCCTGATACTGTACCGATATTTGATGTTGCTGTGCTACTGAAAAACCAATGAGAATGAGCTCATATGGCCCGTAGGCCGCCCTATGTGTATACTCAAACGCCCTGGTTCTCCTTGTAAATCCCTCATATTAAGACATCGCTCGCTAAATCAACCCCAGAAGACAAAACCGAAATGGGCCGCCAGATGCAACATGACTGAATGGGCAGGTCCTAAATGAGCAGCGCTCGCGCGAATTGGACCCGAATCGAAAAATGGCGGTGTAATACATGCGCTGATATGGGATGCGAGTACAGGGGATATCCTGCACCTTCGCTATGCGCGGTCAGACACCATACGCCTTGTCGGTTCGAATTGCTACGCCTGGAGTTTTGGCATCAGGCATGCGGGCGGTGGAGCATGGGGAACCGATCGTTACTCTGACGAAAACAATGCTGAACGCGTAGAGAAATGTACTTTTCATAACATCATGATCAAGCGTAGACAATGAAATACGGATCTTCACATCGCTGCGAGCTCATTCAGCGCATAGGAAAGCTGACGACGCGCTTCGAGTTCATTGATGCCAAGATGCGCTCGGTAGTGGTGTGTGACGATGCTGATGATGGCTCTATATGCCGTGTACCTGTGCCACAGTCAGCCTGATGTTGTTGTAGCCATAAGTGAGATGCTCACATCAACAGCCTTGCACGTATCCCACCTGTCGTCATGGGGCACTCGCCCAGACCCTCGAAGAAGGCCTCAGTGCCCTCGGCAATTCCTCCAGTCATAAGCGGATCACCCCATATGACATTTGAGAAGCCGACAAGTCCGGTGACGCGCTTACTCTCCTCATCAATGAGTACATTTGATGGGTCACAGACGTTTAGCGCTACTAGACGAGGCTCCCTAACATCTTCCAGGAAATCTGCGTGCTTTCCAATGTAATATCGTATGCTATCGTACGGGATAGTGACCAGCATATCCTCAGCATCACGAAGCCCGGCTTCAAGAAGTGCAAGGAAGGCCTCCCGCCAGGAATTGCTGCCCTTTTTGGCGAAGACACGGTGTGTCATGCCGAATTGTGTTGCGGAGAGCGAGGTGAGGGCGCGAACATAGGAGCCCAAGGTCCGGTCTATCGTCTTTTGTTCCTCCTTTGTGAGGTATGGCGAGATCTCTGATAGTTTGCGTCCTGGCACATGACTTATCATTAGAAAAGGGATTCCGAGCGCCCCCCCGGTACTGTCGTGCTTGATCAGTTGCGGAACGGGGAGTTGAGTGTATTCTCGCAGCGTTTCCAGCGTTTTGCGCTCGGTCTCGAGAAGATGCTTCTCATGCCGAAGGAGGCGGACAGCAGTGTGCGATGGCGGGCATTTGAGTACGAGACAGCTGCCGTCTGCAAGTCGAGTGAGGAACACTTGGTGTAAGGAAGCCGCGAGACATTCTGCCTGGTATACAGTGATCTTTGATGACCGAAAGACGCTTCTTATTATTCTTTGTATGCTTGGGAAATCAGGCGTCGCCGTGCGGGTACGTGAAGATGCTGATGAAGATGACGAGGACGAGGAGAGGGTGGAAGATGGCCGACTTGCTTGAACAGCATAGGTACCACGGCTCATGGTAACGAGGGGATAGACGGCAACATCTAGCGGGGGAAGGTGCATTATGAATGTTAGAGGAGGACCCAAGGGCTAGCTAAAGGCGGATGTTTAGCGAAACGCTGATAGACCAGGCCGGGCCTGAATGGATGATGCTGCCTATTGGGCCCGACACAGAGGTTATGAAGGCCCTCATGTTGTACAGAAGTAGTGTAATCAATTGTCACTTCTTCCTCCTCCATTTCCTCATTTCGTCCATGTGCTGTTCCGATGATTCAGTACAGAGAAAAGCATATCCTGATTCCTGATCCACCGAGCATTGCCGATACGTAGGAGAGTCGAGGGAAGGAAGTCGACGTTCATCGGCCTTCATGGACAAGCTGTATGCCAATACATGGTCATACACTTACATACCCTTGTCAGCAAGGAAGTCAGACCCAAGCAACGCCTTCAGGACATGTACATACTAGAGTGTGATCCCCCCTCCTCTCCGGCCCCACCGCCACCGGCCTTGAGGTAGGTAGGTAGGTGGGTAGGTATAGCAATGTTTCGGCTAAGAGAGCTGGATTGGAAAAGTAATTTCCATCATGCAATCGCGGGGCTTCAATGTAGGCGCAACGGATCGACGAATCGACAAAGAGGAATGGAAGATCCATGCGGGAGAGATGAGCAAGGCGTCATTGATGGTGAAGGATCCACCTCGGTGTTCGTCAAATGTATCCGCATCTGGCTAGACCCTCCGCGTGAGAGTCGGCTATCTTCCAGCCTCATTGGTTACCGGCCATGTGGTTTGACGAGGCCGACTTTATCAAAGCTAGACGCGCATGTTGTTCGATGTTCGATGTTCGATGTTCGATGTTCGATGTTCGATGTTCAATGTTCAATGTTCAATGGATACAGTATGGCCCATGGACGCTGGATGTGTACACATGTACAGCATGTGTACATCTGTAGGAGGCGGGGAGCAAGCGAGCCGACCTAATGCAAAATAGCGAAACGAGACGAGACTGGACTGCCGCTAAGGCAAATGATCAACACAGGGTTCAGACACCAGCTTACCGTACATGCCATGTAGGCGAGGGATGGATCCGATCAATCATGGCATTAGCATTTGATACAAGCCCGCCCACCACCACATACATATTGCTTCCTTCTCCTCGTCGATCTAACATTCGCCTCTTGCCAGATCCGAGGCCCATACATCATCGCTGGCTGACAGGCCAGTATGCAATGTACCCAGCGGGCCGGAGACGAGTGGCCTGCTTGGCAGGATGAAGTGTCAGGCCAACCCTGCCACATATTGTGGCTGTCGTACAAAGCTTGCCTTCTTATACCAGATGCGACCGCCCACGCAAGCCACGCAAGCCACCGTCGGAGGAATGAGTATTTGTGGATTTCCAGCATCGGCCTTGCAATCCAGTCATGTCGACAGCAAAACACCAGATCAACCCCCCCGCAAAGCTACCATCTTAGACCTCTTCTCGGATTATGATTGGAGCAGTAGATTGGCTCTTTACTTCCGGGCTGATGTCTGATACCGTCGCTGTTAGTGGTTGGCGAAGTTCTTCCAAATTAAAACGTTTGAGTTTCTCAAAGTCAGGTCCCACGACGCTCATGCCCACAACATTCTATGCATTGTAAGCATCTGTCAAGACCAAGGGGTCGGGACACTGCACGTGTGCGGTCTTACCTTGTAGATCTCCACCATAACGAGGAGATCATAGTCCTTCAGGTCGACACTGTGTCCCGGACCTACAGCGGCCGCTACACTTTTGATGACACCGTCTCTGGTGAACTCCTTGTTGTTCCGTATCGACGGTCGTATGGCAAACTTCATCAACAATCAGTAATCGCCTCCGACCATAGAGGCACCGACTGTGCATGTGTGAGAGCCAGACTTACCTTCTTTGAGGCCTGATTTTCAATGTGGAAGTGAGACGCAAGCACATGTTTCGCAACAGTCTCAAGACCTTGCTGTGTCGCCTTCTCGAATGCAGTGATGGGCGTCAGGCGCTTGACATAGCGCAAGTTCTTGAGCTGTGCACCATTTGCTACGTCTTGGCAGATCTTATGCACAAAGGATACCGGCTCAACAGGCTTGCGCGTTCGGAAGAAAACCACTAGATATTGTCAGATAAGTAAAGTGAATATTGAGATCGCTCGAGCACCTTACAGCATTGAGTATCAAGCTTGACGGATGAGAAAAGAGGCTTAGTGGTTGGCTTGCGTATGTCGGCGATCTCCTTCTTGATCTCCTCTTCGATATCGCCTCCATCCGAGTCGGAAACGTCATCCATGGCTGTCGCGTTGGCTTCCGTTGTTCCATACAATGCTGTTGCATACTACCAAAGGTCAACATGCATTACTTACTCAATACCCGACTAAAAGCTGATAATGGCATAGATGAGACTAACCTCGTCGAAAAGATCCCGCAGGTCGGCTACGGATTTCGCTTCTTTCTTCATTGCACAAGTTGCCCATATACCGGTATCGCCGGGTTGAATCGCTCGGGCTTCTGCACCTCTGCGGGGCATATCCCAGTTTCTTCTACCCTGGCCCCCGAATTAGTATGATCAAGAATCACTGCAGCTGCAGAACGAATATGCAAGACAACGGCCAAGACATTGCTGGACCACATGTGACATGTCTGTCTGTCGGTTGTACAAGAAAAAGCTGCTCACCTTCGCTTTCGTATTGCGGCCGTCCTGTCGATCACTAGACTCGGCTTTCCGCTTCTTTGAGTTCTCCATGATCGTGCCTCCGAGCGAAAGAGTCTCAGGCTCAGGTGTTGAACGTGAAGATGTGAAGATGTATGTGATGAGTGATAGATTATGCGAAAGTCGAGTTGGGTTCAAGACTCTAGAGACTAGGCCGTTTTCGCTCACTAGCGCGATCTTGTCCTTGTTAACACATTTCCAGCGTCAAGCACGATTGAGATGAATCATGGCTGCCAACGTCCTAAGACAAGCTTGTCCGACGTGCGTGACACCATAATCTCGCTATTGTCTCAGATCCAGCATCTCATAACCAAATCCACGGTCTCGGTAAGCCGCGGATCGACGACAATGCGTATACATGGCGTGCCACCAAAGATCTCATACTGCTTACTTCATCGATAAATTGGCAACGCTCTGGGACAATGCGGCCCCGTAGACCAGACCATGCATGTGTCCGATGGCTGCCATGTTCACCATCTAGCATGCCTCTTAATGGTTACAAGCCAGAAGAGGATGTCGGCGGCCACTGCAACCGTCACCTGTAACTCCAGGTGAAAATTTCAGCGTGGCTATCAACTCTATTCATTCGCGTTTGAGTATACCTTGCATTGGTAGTCTAATGTTTTTCTTATTGCAAGACATCAGAGATCCCCGTTAGTCGATATGGAAGGGAGGCTCTTTTCGACCAAGATGTTGATCCAAATATTGATTAGCATCGCCTTGTTGACCATAGAACCTGTAGAATACCGAGAGCACTTTTAGTTACTGTAATGCAAGAGCACGATTTTGTGTATTCTACATCAAGAACGACGGCTATTAAGTTGCCCAAGGTGACTCTTATGGCGGAAGTATTTGGAATAATCGCTCCCGGGCGCCTTGAAGGGCCATTTCCTGTACGCAGAGACTAGCTCCTCTATCATCTCCACGGTCAGCATCCTGACCCTCAGCTGATTCATCTTAAGGCGACCGCCCTTCTCTGGATCCTTCAAACTAGGACAGTCCTTGATCACGACGCTCAGCCCATGTTGCATCTTGTCAAGCGCATGATCTACCGCGTCGTTTGGTGCATTGAACAGACCGAAAATGAAGTCATTTAGCCACTCGGTGTAATCGGGTATGTCTTCCTTGAAAGGCTGGGGGATCGGTTCCATAGAGACGAGACTGAGGCGATTCTGGGGCCAGACTTCATCATCTTGCATGACCAAAGGCTCGAAGGGTCGTTGATCCCATTGAATACGGGGATGAGGAGGTGTACGCATAGATATGCGCTCATCGGCTTCGTTCTGCGCTGAAGTCTGATGGTTGGGAGGGATGCTGGCAAGGGTCTCTTCCCACTTTTGGTCCAGCTCTTCTATTTCCTTGATTACAGCATCCTTCTTTTTCCCGTCTTTCATCCTTAAAGCTTTGATTTCCAGATCGTGCATTTCCTCGCCTATGTCGGCGCAGTGCTCGATGTGAACCTTGGTCTTCGCCGATGAGTTGATTTGATTACGTCTCTTGAGGTAGTTCCTGACTTCGAGTGATGCAGGATGATCTTTAAGAATTGTCTTCAGTGCCTTCCCTGAATTCACAATTTTGGACAGGTCAATGTCCGGATACTTCTCTGCCAAAAGCTTCTCTTGTTCGTAACAATCGATATAGGTTGTTTGTAGCAGACCTGTTGTGGGATTACCCGACATTTGCTGCTTGCACAGGAACTCTTGCATTGCTTCGGAGCGCATAATTCCCGTTCCACCTGTAAGACGTTCGAGTTCTAGAGCATAGTTGTAGCTGGCAGCGCGTCTATGCGTGGGTATTTCGAACCCATTATCCCTCGCTCTCCTCAATGCCTGAGTCAAGCTTTCAAGTTCGTACTGAGGTTCGCGACCAGAGGAACCTCTTCCGATTTTACGTTCAGTACGCTCTGCGTTCACGACTAGCGTTATGTTTTGTGTCATCTCTAGAACCCGGTTGGCCTTGTACATGTTCGATATACTATCAGCAACCATTGGGCTGAGGTCTTCATGCTGTACCCAAAGCAGCATACGTATCAGACCGAAAGCGTGGAAGAGATCATTTGACGCTGCAGAACTTGCGAAGTGGTGGATGAGCTGTTTGGCCATAGAGTCAAATCCGAGACCAGTGAGCTTAGGATCCCACACCAGAGAACCTGTCACTAAGAGCGTATTATTCGTTTCTTGAGCCTTGGGCTCCCTAGGACCACGGACAACTTGATCAGGGAAAATACCCTCTGACACTATTTCTCTATAGGTATCCCGCGCGCATGGATCCTTTTCTACGAGTTTGTATGTGGAGTTTGGGGCGGTGATGAGAGGATCGAGGAAGTCTTTGAACTTGTCGTATCGCGGCTCCAGGAGCACATGGCTGTGAGGCTTAAGGTAGTCATGGAGCTTCTGTGACCATAAGCCCGCCCCAGGATTGATATCGATGATATCACAGCCCTTGTGTTTTTCCAGCGTGGAGCCGATATATTTGATAACATCATCTGATTTCGATCAGCAAAAGTCCTCGCGGAGTAGGTCCAGGCCGGGTTTAACATACCACATAGATTCGGGCTTACAATTTGGGACCGTACATGAACGGCATTATCCCTGCGCTTATAGGATACGGTTTCGGGTCTGGATGTTCCAACTTCCTTACTGGGGTGTATGACAGCGCTCAGAGCCTTCGTCAAGGGATATTGGTCGTTTATCTGGAGCTTCTCACTCGGCCAATTGCTCCACGCGCCTGATTTACGCCCTGCACCGCGACTGTGGTTGGTAGTGGCAGACCGCCGCTGGGCAAAATTCACCACTCGAGCGCTTTGCTGCCCGAGTACGCGCGATATTGACTGGTGTATGCGAATCATCGATGGAGTTGATCGCAAGACACTCAGGGCGGGCTGCAATGTTTGCCGCGGTTATCAGGCCCCTTGTGGTTTAGCGTACATATGAGCTTCAAAAGATGATGCATGTCACGTGCCCACACGACTTTAGGTGCTCACGTCGTGCATCGTACGCCCTCTGCAATGAACGCGCCCCGCTAGACTACATATCATGGCTGATTGTAGATGCTTACAATAAAGCATAGACCTCACCCCATACTCTAGACTTGAACTATTCTTCCTGGATACAGGAGCTACAAACCCCTCACAGCGCTATAGTACTACAGGGAAATACCCCCTCTTTCCCTACTCCTATATGTATAGTGAATGATCTCAACAGTAGTGTTTCTGAAGAAGCAAGCAAACTGCAGTCTGAAATAGATACAGAGAAAGACAAAGGATTATATGGGATGTATGTTAAGAGACGCGCATTCAAGGATCTAGATAATGCGCACAGGGAGCTAGGCTCCCTCTTCGCGCTATTCAACGAGACTACTCTTATCTGGCGGTCCTGGATGTTAGGGCTTATGAAGTACGTGTATACTTCATTGTAACAATGTTGAACACCATGAGCCTGTCACCCTATGGAACAGACTGCAACCTTATAGTCATGTCTCAAAGCGGTTCTCGGGGGGTATGTGAAGTTTGGATACATGAATTTGTAAGGGTTAGTGTCTGCGAGTGGTATTGTAAGACACATACAGACACTAGACTCGATTCATTACTGAATGCGGGAGCAGAGTAGAGTAGCTAATGCGCTCCTCTAACGACAAGAATATGCTCGGTGCAAGTACTGCCCTTTCCTATTTCTGCACTAATATACGCTACAAGAAGTAGCACTCAGCAAGCATTATCCTTTACTCATCGATGATCACGCCAAGAATTACGAATAGAGACTTAGACACAGCCAATATTTTTCGTTGAAAATCTCACCAGCTCGAAACTTTTGATAGTGACAGTTGACGGGTTAGATGATGGCTTCACGACATCTCCCGCTTTCAAAGTCCTTGTAGCTGAGAATGATCCTTCATCGGCTTTGGATATTCGAAAGGAGTGAGATTATTGGACGCTCGTAAAGGAGATGATCGATCTTCGCTTGAGGCAGATTGGACGAACTGTTCGATCTTATTGGCTATCGCGGTTACCTTGCGCGTGCTTGTAATTGTTTGATATACCTAAGATGCCTTCAGTATTGCAACAAAACCCCCTCCTTGGGTGTTTGAGCCTTTGAGCCTTTATGTACCAATGCGTATAGTACGATAGTTATACGCGAATCACAATCGAGGGTAATAATCTTCATCCCCAGCATATTGTAAAGCGCAACCTCATTGTGCACCTGTCTCTAAAACCATCCTTATCAAAAAAAAATTGTTTACTTTATTAGGTACTTCACAAGCCTCGCGTAGATACTACCTTGTGGCCAGTTGGATTCTGCTTTGACCGACTAACAAATCATGTGTTGTGCGGCTGCCTAGTTTCTGAGTGGAATTTCTAGTCTCCGAACGGAACGATTACCAAGATATAAAAGATTATATTTGTCTGTAAGACATTTTCTATATTTTCTAGAAATTCCACGACAAAGCATATATCTCTGTCTAGGAACAATTCGTCAGACAACGTGACCGTAAAGCCGAACCATCTCCGAACAAATGCAAATACCACAACACCAACATTTGCAACACGTTAGCTCACGAATTCGTCCAACATCATTATGATCATGGCGTCTCTCCACAATTATCCACTAGCGCCGCTTGATGAGCTCAAATCACAGTTTGTTGGGCAAAACATTGAGTATCTGGACACACCAGCTATACTACTGGACCGCGCGATCCTCAAGAAGAACTGTGATGCCATGCTGAACGTCTGTTCCGAGCTGGGTGTGGGCTTCCGTGCGCATGTGAAGAGCCATAAGGTATGATCGACATACTCGGAAAGCCCTTGAATGTAATATCAGTGGAATGGAACCCCATTTGCTGATATGATCACAGACACTGGAGCTTTCAAAGCTGCAAGTAGGCGAGACAGGACCCGCAAATTTCATTGTGAGTACTGTCATCGAGGCCGAACGATTGGCAGCATGTCTGGCAGAGTTTCAGAGCCGGGGCAGGGAAGCAAGTGTAAGGGCATTGGAAAACACTATCAAAAAGTTCCAAGTATCCTAGGCTGACATCATCTAGGTCCTCTATGGCGTACCAGTCCCCCAGTCTGCGATCTCCCGACTCATCAAGGTAGCGGACAGCCTTGCCCCACGATCTGTGAACATCATCATCGACAACAAGGATGCTTTCCTCCAGTTTCACCAACGTTTGATTGAAAGTAAAAGCGCCATCGAGATAGGCGTCTTTGTTAAGATCGACACGGGGTACCAACGTGCTGGCATCAAAACATCCTCTCCCGACTTCAGTAGCCTGTTGACCACCATTGCCAGCAAAAAGTCGAGCCCTGGTACATATTTGAAGGGTTTCTACTCGCACTTTGGTCATTCGTATGCCGGCAACTCAGAAGATGACGCAGCGAATGGGTTGATTGAGGAGCTTATTGGCCTTGAAGCCGCCATCACAGCTGTGCCATCGTCACACAGCGAGAAATTGATTTTGAGTGTGGGCGCAACGCCCACGGCGACAGCAGCACAGAATCTGCTGTCTAGCACCACAATCGCCTCGCAGAACTTCCGCTCTGTTCTAGCAAGGCTCAAGGAGAAAAATCGCGTGGAATTACATGCAGGAGTCTACCCACTTCTTGACTGCCAACAAGTCGCTACACATGCCCGGCCCTCCTCTGGCCAAGCCTCTCCATCCTTTCAACCGCTTTCGTTGGACAACATTGCCATCACAATGCTCGTCGAAGTCACAAGTGTCTACGAGGAGCGTGAGAAGCCGGAGGCACTCGTCTCGGCTGGTTCCCTAGCCATGGGACGGGAGCCATGCAAGAGCTACCCTGGATGGGGAATCGTCACAAATACTCTGGGCAATGCGAATACGAAGAGTGTCTACAATGAGCAAGAGGGAAAGACGGGTTGGATCGTGGGACGAATCAGTCAGGAGCATGGTATTCTGACATGGGAAGGCGATGCGTCCCAATGCAATCCCCTGGGCATCGGCGACAAAGTCTCCATCTGGCCAAACCATGCATGTGTTGCGGGAGCAGGGTTCGGATGGTATCTCATTACTGATTCCGGCCAGGATGGAAAGAAAGTCGTCGATGTTTGGGTGCGATGGCGTGGGTGGTAGAGTAGTGTACAGTGTTATGGATCATCTGTTGAATGAGCGTGGGTTGTTTTTCGGTGGTTTGAGGCGCTGCCGGATCATGATCCTGGTATATATGTTGTCGTTGAAGGCGCGCATTATCGTTCCGAAGGTTGCACGGCGGATGCGCGCCCCTGACGATCTGTGCAAGGTAGGTAAGGAGCATCTGGAAGGGATTTGGAGGTTTGGTAATGCCCTGGACCGGTTGTACTTTTTTTATTTTGGTTGCAATGTTGAGGCTCCCGATGCTGGTTGGGTTGCTATAGAAGGGGATGCCCGGGATGGATGCAGGTAGGGATTGCGGAACTAATTTTAAAAGCAATTAATATCGAAAAAGAAATCGAGTCCACTATACCACACGAAGTGACCATGTACAAACGACACGATTCTTTGCTTCGGAGCTATTGTGTTCTCCTTACTTTGGCGAGTGTGTTCAGGAGGCGTAAATAAGCGTGAGCTACATACAGTACATTTGGTGTCACATGGCCGTGCCTTGGTCGAAGGTACCGGTATTGCCTAAGTAGTTAGTCAACTTTGTTGTTCAATGATCATGACAAAGGCTTGCGAAGCCAGCGACCGCTGTCAATCGCGCTGTTACGAAGATTAGTGTTTCGACAAAGAGTTGAGTGGGTTGTTCAGCGAGCTGGCCATGGTGCCCTTGAGTACGCTGTGCGTGAGATATACATACCATGTGCCTAGAACATTATTTACGGCCGTGGTCTGTCGAAGACTTGTACTGTTGTTCACAAGTATGACCGAAATTGATTTGACTCCATGTTACGATGCACACACTCCCTGGGGTAGCACGTCACACCTGCGCTGGGAGTGATCAGCTGACTGTGTACACCGGGGAAGCTCTGCAATGACGTTCATGATGCGCCGCGCCGTTGGGGTGACTCGGGACCATAGGGGTAGTATATTTAGCAGTCCGTTGGGAGGGGAAGATGGGCCCAGTGCCCAAAGATTTGGGGCAGCACGAGGATGCGGAGAAGAGCGGATTCCTGATTCGAGCCCCAGAGAGTTCACCTGCAGCGCGTAGCCTAGTACATATGTAAGCCTGCACGCCTGCTCCTCTGGGATCAACAGCGAAAAGAGAAGAGAAAGAAAAAGACGTGAGACAGGTCACCGGCGTGGATGGTTGCAGGCGTGAGAAAGATGGACTCAGGAGATCGCCAGTGTCAAAAGTTAAATTCGGACCTGAGGCGGCAGGGACTGCTATGTAGTTAGCTCGAGCTCAGCTGGCCATGGCTCGTTCGGTCGTGGTGGTGGTGGTCGCAGTGGTGGTGGTGGTGGTCGCAGAGTCGCAGGCACCAAAGACGGGCGCTACACGGGACTGCGCCAAACCTCATCCAGTGTCGCTCGCGGCATGGGGGGGAAGGGGGGAGGGGGGCTGCTCTTTCCTGGCGAACAGAACCCTTTCCCCCTCCCCCCTCCCCCCCAAGTCCCTGCTGGGATCTCTGCTGGCAGATCTCTGAGTGACCTGTGACCTTTTGATGACTGCTCCGAGCCGAAGTGTGGGCCTCTGTTCCATGGAAGCCTGGACGGGGGGTTTGCGAGTGTGGAACCTCTTTTCATGATTCATTCCAGTTTCGTCTCCGCTTGATCCCGCAGACTTCAACATCGTTGTGCAGTGCAGCCTGCAGCCCAGGCCAGACCAGGCGCCAGAAGACACAGCTCGATATCCAGTACTCTACATGCCTAGAGTACCTACACTGCCTATCCCGATCCACACGTCGCGCGCCAGTAGGTCCATAGCATGTGGACCCCCAAGCTGCTTAGCTAGCACCATAGTAGAACCGCCGGCTGTGAGCACAGAGAACCAACCCCCCTCCCCTTCCTCCCCGCCCGGTGCACGCGACAGTGTGGGAGGGATATTGTGCAGTGCAGCGTGTGCTTATGCATCCTGTTGTTAGCTAGCCTAGCCGTCAGCCCTGAGCAGCCAGTGTGACTGGAGACATCTGTGGGTAGCACGGTGCACACGGTACACACGGTACACACGCTTCATTCGGTACACCCAGCTAAAAAAGTGACATCTCGGAAGTCGGGAGCGTATCTCACGTCTGGTGTCGCCGTCGTTGCATACCTGTTCATCGCCATGGTCCCCTATCGACGGCCATCTCAACGCGACCGTCGCCGTCTAGAGCAGCACAGCGACCCTTACGAATGGAACGACCAGCGCGATAAGCCCATCATGACGGCCACGTTCCCCATCCATCCCGTCTCAGCCATGCAGGCCCCCTTTGAGGAATCGATGCTCGATGCGACCGGCGAAACGGGCCATGTACCCTTCACACACCCGAAAAAGGGCGTCAAGACGCGCCAACAGATGCTGTGTCGGGAAGAGGGGGCAGCAGAATCCTCGTACAACTTCACATACAACTGTCACTGGCGCAACAACCCCAAGGGCAAATTCCACCCCTTGAACAAAACGGCCGCGCAGATCATCTTTGGTGTGCATCTCTTGCACCAGCATCTCGAGAAGTCGGTCGCCGACGTCGCAGATATCCTCTTGAAGCATGTCAACGAACTCGACAACTTCTTGCAACGTGCCAACGAAGATCTCGAGGCCAGTTTGAAGGATATGCTCTTCCGTCACAAGTGCTTGAAAGTCCCCATGGAACACGTAAACGAGTTCGACCGCCTCCTCGAAGACCGCGCATACCGAGCCCAATTGCTAGACGGCAACGTTGTCATCGAACGAACCATCGGACGCATGTCAAGCATGTTGAATGACTACCTCATCGACATGAATACCTTCCGAGAGGCGAACCACGCGATCGACTCCTATCTGCTCGACATTGGCCACGACTGGACATGTCGCAATGAAGACATTGGCCGAATCTACTCGGCCATGTGTGGAAACACGGGGGGCTGGTCACAATTCTTGCAGAGTCTCGTCGCGAAGGCTGAAAGGCTAGGCGTTGTGCTCGTGCAAGTGAGCAGTTACTGCAACGAGATAGAAAAGCGATGTGGCGCTGCCAGCCGACGAAGCTTGGTAAGCATGCCTGTCTCCTGCATTTCTGGATGTTCGGCTCGATCTTGTGGGGCGTGTTTCATCCTTCAACCTGGCTGATGGACTTTAGATTGCCACTCGGACCTCCTCACGGAACTCATCCAATTCGAGAGAAAACGGACGGAATTTCCGGAACTTTGCAAACAACAAGCCTCTACCCACGCCACCAAGCGAGCGACCCCCAATTATACTACCATCCAACTCTGGTACCGAGAACCACTCGGGAGCTGGCAGTTCACAACGACCCTTGGGGAAGTCACAACTTCGTCCTCAGGCAGATGCGATGCATTCCGATTCGACCACGGAAACCCCCAAAAGAAGCCAAGATTCAGCCTCCACATCAGGTACATCGATTCTCGAAATAGATGAACAACATCAAAGTACCCAGGAGCAGCCTGAGTACTACCACGAAGCCTGGCACGACGATGACCAACGTGGGCGAGCGTCACCGCCGATAGATTCAGGTCGCACAACCCGAATGTCTGGATTGCCACAAGATCTTGCCCCAGTATCAAGTACGGCGGAGGAGAAGTGGTCAACGTCTCGACGTGCATCTGGCAGACCAGACAAAGGGGAGCTCAGTCCACCCTGGACAGGAAAAGACTCTGCATACTCATCCGTATCTGGAGCCTCGGGCATGTCACCGACCCTTACGACCCCACGATCAGTTTCATCCATGTCTTCGCGTACTGCACAATTTGGACTGTTTCCGAGTAGAAACCGAAGCACACCAAAGGGCTCCTTGTCTGGACGCCACGGTGCCCAATCACCTGTATTGAACCAAGCATCAGAGTTGAGCAAACCAGCAGACATGCCGAGCCGTCCACCGACATCGATGAGCACCTTTTCAGAGGCTGGTTCAAGTAAAAGGCTGTCTAAGCGCAGCAGCTTTTCTTCCTTGAAACGTTTCTTTACAAAGAAGAAGTCCGGTGAGATAGGCACCATTGCTGAATAGTCCCTCCTGCGTTCTTCATCACGTTCCCTTCTTGCTTGACATGCTTGTCTGGCCATCCTCAATTTGGCGTCGCGAAGGTTATATACCCCATCTGGCTGCTTTTACGTGGGCCTCTGCTTTAGACGTGTAATTCTTTGCCCCCCCGATCTGCTGCCATTTGTTTCTTGGGCCTCTTCTGTAACATGCCCTTCATCTTGTAGTAATGTCGTAACGAACAACGTGTAACATGCCCTTCACTTCTCCAGTTTGTCGGAGTGTGTCTGTATTTGTGTGGTGTAGAGACATGGTGGGGGTTTGCTTGGAGGCGAACTTCGTAGAAATCGCCAAAGGCGTCAGTCAACAGATCAGGTCTGAAGAAAGATAGCCAGCCCACCCCTTCTGCCGCAATGAGTAACTTGCTCTTCCAGTTGAGGTCGTGGTCTGCGCCTGGCTTGTGAAGGGGGCTGGATACGGGTGTGGGCATCGCAACAAGGTCGTTGAGGGAAGGCACGTTTCGAGGACAGGGAGGTAGGGGTGTACGGTAGGATTCAGGGCTGTCAAGCTGCTGCCTCTCCTTTACATCTTCTTCATGCGTTCTTCAAGTCTCCTGTCCGCTCTTTCGTGTCGCTTCTGAGCTATTTTCGTTGCTCTTGCCGTGCCAATTCGAGGGGAAGGCGTAATACCAGTTGCCCGAAACGACGTCCCTCGTCGCCTAGCTCCAGGCCGACTTTTTCCTCCTCCTCTTCCTCCCCCTCTCCCTTCACAGCACGTCTCTATCATCAACATCGCTCCCTTTTGGCACAGCGTTGGCGCAGATGGTCTAGCAGTCGTTTGTCACCCTCTCTCTTGGATATCTGCTTTTTCGCAGTATCTGCTCTTCTTCTTGGGCATTACAATAGCTCCTGTATCCTTTGGTAGCACCCACAGAGAAGCCCCAGCGCACCAGCTTCGTCCGCACCAGCTTCTTCTTCTGCCTCTCTTACTGCAGAGCACAGCCAAGATGTACGTCAGCTCTATGCTGGGAGACTGTGACGCCAATACTGGTGGGGGTCGCACTTCGCGGGCGTCAAACATGTCAGCAACGAGCAGAGTCTCCGATCACCCGCAGCAGCAGCAACAAGGCCAGGATGCGGGCAGGTCTGATCTTCTCTCAGCTGCGGCTCCAGGTGTCATGTCCATGCTCCGCACATCGACAGAGATGGGTAATGTTGCGAGCCTCACGGGCAGCGAGCTGTCAGGTGTGGGTAGCCTGCCTCGAGCTCCGCCACGCCGCGGTGCATCGAGCAGACTGTCAACCACATCCTCGCACTCCAATCACTCTGGTCAAGTAAGCAGACAACATAGACAGCGGCCCTCGCAATCCTCTGGGACACGGCGATTAAGTGCTCGAGAGCCCATGGGACTGCAGTATGTTGCTGATACCCTCTCACCCACCGTCATGAACATACCTGGCTCTTCCCCCTTGGTCCCAAGAGCCGGCAACAGAGACTCGAATCGCTCCATGTCGATGACGCACATGAGCCATCCGACGTACAGGCTTTCGAGCAACCGATCTCTGGGCAGCCTGCGCCATGAGCAGATTCAGCGTTCCAGGAGTCCGTATGTATATCCGACTAGACTTCGGAGGCCTAGCTACCGTTCAGGGTCGCCAGCATTGAGTGAAGTTTCTGGGAACTATCCGAGGCGTACACTGGGCTATGGTGGCCCAAGTGGCTCCGCGTACTACTCCCAGCAGTACGCAAGCGGCCACCCGGTGCAAAACCCAGGCCAGCAGAGACTCAGGATGCCGTCTGATACCAGTTCTGGACAGCAAGATAGGATGTACCACCTGCACCACCGCCCCAGCCGTGGTCCATCTCCAGTCTACTACCCTGGTTCTCGTCCAAACATGCCGCCGCCTCTGCCAGCAGGCTATCAGCACAACATCGCTATCGAACAAGCTCGCATGCTAAACAGGTCTACCAAAGGATCCATGTCCAGTGGCTCGACCAACTTGCGCACCGATTCGGATCCACCTTCATCTGACATGGCCTTGCCACCAACACCAAAGGACGGCGCCTCTGGGGAGGTCATGTTCGGCCCAGAAAGCGCACAAATCGGCGTTAATGGCGTCCATAGTATTGTCAATGGTCGGGGCTACAGTCGAACAATATACTACGACGGTAGCGAGCAGTTTGAAAACGAACAACCTGCGGCGCTCAAGGCCGATCCTACAGCATTTGTGTCCCGCTACAACACCATCATGGAAGAAAAGGGGCCTCTTGAATCTATATCGAGGACAAGTGCCCCATATAAGAACAAGACGTCAGTCGAGTTTACGCGCACTGAAGTACCCGGCATGGCAGAGCTTCCAGCGTCTCCCGTACCTCGCCGGATCACAAGAGGTCAGGTCCTACAAGCATTGGAACCGTCTTCGACTGTTGGAGACGTGACGTCGACTGTCCCATCTTCAGATTTCAGAAGCAAATCTGCATCTCTGCATTCTGACGACCTCCCAGCGAGGACCAGCCCTTTGAACACTAGCACGGCCGAAGCTTCTCTCCATCCCAACAATCGTGATGGTCATCGACACAGTATCTTGTCCCAGACAGGATCGAGTGTTCTAGACTCATCGACACTCGAGTTCGCTGTGCGATATTCCATACCCATGGCCACAGGCGCAGGCTTTGCAGCCAGCAGTCCATCTGTTCCTAACAGTGGTGCTTCAGCATCTACTAGTCGAGAAAAGAGCAGCGAGGATGGCATGTTGGAACTGCTGGCTGGTTACCAGCACACGGAAACCAAACATGAGGGTGATGTCATGTCGCAAAAGGGAAATATGCCCAAGAAGTCTTCCACGGCTGAACATGGCGCGAATAGAGCAAGATCTTCAGAGGAGCAGTCCTTCAAGTCTTGCACAGATCTTCCTGAACCACTGTCGGAGCCAGGTACGCCTGTTGGAAGCAAGAGTCGTATTGTTGAATCTGTCAAGTCACGGGCTGACAGGAGAGAGCCATCCATAAAGGATTCAGATGCACGCTCTTTCAGCACAGCCAAGGTTGCTGTCACTCCCGACCAGGCCACCTTATTGCTGCCCTCGAGAGTTCCAGCATCCAATCTTTCTACTGTCGCTGTTCTCTCCAGCGCGTCAGCCTTTGAAGCACCCTTGTCAAGTCCTTCTCCAGCCGTTCTTCGCAAGCCACTCCCAAGCTCACAATCAAGCTTCATAGCGATTGCGAATAAGCTACGGCCTAGTTCGAAGCCAAGCATCAAGCAGAATTCCCTCTCCATATCAGTTTCGGGTTCTTCGTCTACACTGAGCGCAACTCAGCAACCACCTACTGTTCCACCGAGAGAGTCCAGCTCTTCTAAGGAGGCACAGCGTTTCCAAGCTACAGCTTCTTTTCTCATGCGTCAATTCCCATCTCTCCGAACTAAAGGTTGGAAGCAGGACAAGGACACTGACAATTCTGAAGCTAGCCCAAAGGAGGTTGTTGCTCAAACCTCTACTAAGGGCAAGCATGAGCCTTGTGATGAATCGTTCTCTTCTGATTTGCCTGTAAGTGAGATAAAGACACCCGAAAAGACTCTTAGCCAAGGCAATGTACCGCTGACCGGAAAGGATCGCCCTTCCTCATTGGAGTCGACTTGCAATCCACCTGGAGCGTCGGGCCTTTTTCCGTCAGTAACCGAAGAGCAATCCGTTGCGAGCAGCCCCTTTCCTCCATACTATGAGCCTTCATCGGTTTATTCGCCCCAGGATGCATCCCTTCCACTGCGCGCGTCTTCATCCCCGGCTGCTGTGTCCCCTCCAGAGAATATTCGAAGGCAGAGTCAGGTTACCACACATCTGGTATGGCCCGGACACAAGTCTCTCAATATGCATTCCGCAAGTGGTGCCGAGCCCCAAGTTCCATGGTCCAATATCCAAGAGAATACCACAACCGACCTCAGGCTGTCAGGTTATGGGTACAAGTACCCAGGTCCTGCACATCACCTTCCCGACGTCAAGGAAGAGTCACACGAGGATTCAAGCCTTAACACGAGCGCGACTAACTTGAAAAATTCAAACTTTCGTTTTCCGTATGGGGTCCCGCCGCTATTAAGGGCGTCGGTCGACGGTTCGCTCATGACGCCACAGAGGTTATCAACAGGTTCGCATCAGCCGGGTATTGTTGATAGCGCGCTTGGACAGACACGTGGCTTGCCTTCGATGCACTTCAGCCAAATGAATTTGATTGAAAAGTGGAACGAGGAGCTTGGCCTTCAGAGGTCTGAATTGTTGGAGGATGTATCGGGAGATTCGGAGAAAAGGGAGAACGATAATCCGCGGCGACCTGTTTCGTCGAGTGAAGTACGCGAGAAGTTCCGCAGCTTCGTCGCAGGGCTGGAGAAGAAGCTCGAGCTGACTGAAGGAATTTCGCAGCCTACAGATCAAGTGAATCAGGTCGCATTGAGGGGTACCCGCTCCCCCGAGCAAATCATCGCCGAGATTGAGAGTTTGACTATCCCATCTGTTGGTGGACTTACACAGCGCATCTCAGAACTCTTGCCATCACTGCGAGAGTACTATCAACTCGGAGAGCATGGGGATTTCCCTGAAGAGGAGATCATCATTGAGAAGGCCATGCAGAAGCTCGCCGAAGTTGCACCTACCCAGAAGCGTTCTTCAGCTCGGCTGCGACCTGTGCCTGGCTCTCCTAACATGATTGTCATTAACGATGCAGTCTTCGAGGAGCTCACGGGCAAGGACAAGGGAGGCGCTGGTACTGGCACAGATAGTGATAAGCTAGTGGAAGGCAGCTGTGTTGTTGCTAGGCCAAGCTCAAAACAACAGGGTCAGGACGACATTCACACGCAAACACGTCAAGTCACGTCCCTAGTTGAGCTTGAAAAGCCTTCGCCTGTCCGCCTCCGCCCCCGATCTTACACTGTTGGTCCACAAGCAATACGCCCCTCGTCTGATTCAGATTTGTCCTCGAGAAGGTCATTGAGGTCTGTTGCTAGCACACCCAACGCGACCAACTCACGACCTTGGAACACCGACAAGAACTGGCCTTGGGCATCAGCCACCGTGCCTTCTCTCGACATCTCACTACCCCCGCCAGCAGCTACTCGAGACTCACCTCGTCACGGTCCGTCGCACCTCCGCAACAGCCTCTCTGGCGCCGTAACCGCGAGCTCTTTCTTGTCAGGACAGACAGCCACAGCTTCGCCTTTTGGATCTGCCAGTGACAATGCCCACGCACGTCAACACCGCTTCAGCGCATTTGGTCACAACGTCGATCAACCTCACGCAGTTGGAGAGCGTTATCCAACATCTGCCTTGACCCCGCCCACCGCCATCTTCAGGGACCACTTCACGCCCTCAGACACCTCGGACGACGAAGACTTCAATCCTTCGCGCAAAAGCAGGCTTGGGCTTCGAAAGCGCTTCTCCTCCGCTCGCAGCGCCAAGGCCGATCAGAACAGCCAGGCCACTCGAAGCAAGACAAACCTGCAGGAGCTCGCATCTCCCGAGTCGCACAAGCCAACTTCGACCTCAATTGTAGAGGACAACGCTGCTGAAGCCGAAGCCTTTACCTCTCACCGACACACGTTCCGCGACGCCGAAGGCATGCGAGGTAGCGTATACCATCGCCAACGTCTCATCGACCGCATCAAGCGCTGGTGGCACAAAGGAGGCAACCTGATCCGCACCATCTCCGGCCGCAAACAACACGAGTCGATCAACGCCTAGGTCTTCAAGATGTCGCTTCGTCAGTACTCGACCGACATTAAGGCGAACATTGAGATGGGCAAAGTCACGTACGCCTGTCACCTCATCGCCTTCGAGGCCGTGTTCCGCCGTCACTGGTTCATGGACGACGGTGTCCCGATGGACGAAGGGTTCATTGATGCCGACTGTCCCCCCTGCGTCCCCTTCAACACGTTCGCCCCTGGCACCCCCGTTCCTCTCGGCTGGGTCCCCACTCGCAATGGGGCCTACTGGGAGAGCGGGAGGTCCCAGGGTGATCGAATCCGTTAAGTCTTCTGAACACCAGGAGCGAGCCGATGAATTCCTTTTTCTCTTCTATATGATACCTTTCTTTCATGGCGCTGAGCCACTTTTTCTGTAATATAGGATACGAGATAGGCCTTGGGAGGAGGAACGGAGGGAGGATTATCTAAACAGGAATAAAAATGACTTGGTCATTCGTGGTCATCTGAGTGCCTTGTGTGCTTTTCTGATGTGTTGAGCGGGTAGCTTCACGTGTGATAGTATTGTATCAGCCCAACAGTGATGCCCTGAATTTTGCGGAGGTGTGGCAGGGTGACGTATGCGAAGTTGTTACGGGGGTAATAGATTGGCGACAGTGTACAGGATGCCTGAAAAAAGTAGGTTTACGTGCCTTCTTTTTGAACTATAGCTATCCAAGGCCACTACTGTAGCTCTGTATGCCAGGAAACCTAGACTAATTACTATCAAGTTATGACTTGAATTATGTAGGTAGGTACAGAATTCGCCTCAAATTAGCAGGTAAGATGCAAACTTTAGCATGTATTTATAAGACGTTTTGTTTACGCATTTAAGCACACAGACTATTGTATCTTGGCTATCCTAGCAAGCGAGATTTTTCTCTGTCAATTTGCTTCATAGGCTGCAATCTTCATTATGGAAGAATTGTTGTTAATATTCAAGGAATGTGGTCAACACGAGACGCCTGTACCGTTTCGCGCTCATACTTGGAGGAACAGGATAGGCACGATGCTAGGAGAGTATGCAAGAGGGACACAGCTCATGTTCATCAAGTCTTGTAGAATGGAGATACATCACTACTCAGCTGAGTAGCGATTAAGGGAATGTATCCCGCTAACTGACGTGACATCCATCCGAAGCCCGTGCCTACCAACCAACGCCTAGCATTACCTTTGAGCATAGTGTGACGAAATCATCCCAACCTAATTAGAAACTTGCGATTATATACCCGGATAAGTTTTCTGGGACACATGTTTGCATTGCCTCCCGTCACAGCCGGCATTGAGAGTGGGGTGAAGATTTGGACGTTCAAAATTGTATACATTATGCTATGATGTTGCGCGAGAAGCATAACGCAACTTTGAACAGATGGGTTACTCCCCCGATCGCTGCATTGTAATACTCGGTACGCATATGGTTCAGCGCCTTCACGTTACTGTAAGCGCATTCTTTGACATTTTAGACGAGGACAGGGGGCGGTTTTGATGATGGTGATGGTGATGGTGTTGGGCCTGGTTTTGTGCAACAGACCCGGTAGCAAACCATCCATGTCGGATCATCCTGCCTCTGGAAATTTGTTAGCTTGTGGATAACGTTATAAGCAGTCATTTTTTTTTCGGTTTTACTTACACATACGCCAGGAAGACAAGTCTCGCCTTCCTTGCATCGGACAATCCTGGGAACTTCTACGCTACAGCGTTCTGCCTTCCGTTTACAGGCCTACTTACTTGTTAGTCTTTGTGAACCCTAGTGATAACATACCTGTAAAGAAACAAGACGAGACTTACTTCTACTTGGCCAGGATTATACAACGGGGCATTGCAAACTATCTGCCGTCTGGAAGAGCTGCCTGCGCCACAATCTTGTACTGCAGCACACACACTAGGTAGAAGAAGTATTAGAAGCGAGTATTGCATGGCCACTTTGCTAGGTACCTATTATAGTAGGTAGAAGGATAAGAAGGTGTCAAAGAATGTAGATTTCAGAGCAGGTGTTATAGAGTAACCACAAGGAAGAATTGAAATGATCGGAAGTCTTGGGACTTGGAATCTTTATATAAACAGAGATTAATTTGCGGTACAGTTTACCCAGGGTAGCATGTGCGCATATCGGGCCTTTCTCTGCAGCTATGCTCAGCCCTTCACACTATATTTCAAGTACGGTATATGCCGGCTTACGTCTGAAACCCACTAAATGTATACGAGCCAACAAGCTCTCTGCTACTGTGGTAGGTAATCATACTATTAAGACATGGTAGACATAATTCGATCGAGCTAGCAACGACCTGGTCTGAATAATAAGCCCGAAGTCCACCATCGTTGAGAGCTTGTCGAATGCGAATTTACATCATAGAATTGCGCATTCTACAGTTAAAAGGAAAGAAACCCTTGTTCTACAGATGTGCGAAATCACAGCCGGACAACTGCAGTTATACACTGCTGTGTCATGAACGCCTGGGCCACGTGTGACGGGCTTAGCCTCTTGGCGGTGCTTGCCCAGCTCCCATCCTCCTAGACTAGGACAATATGATCACATTACACACTGCATTTGGGCCCTCCTCACCGTCGGATACTGCATACACAGCAGCATGCTGTGCATCTTCTTATTAAACTTACATGTGATAGTCTTAGTCTCGGCATCGGTGTGTTTATCGACACTACGGTAAAAAATTGTTTACTATAGAATAGTACGCTAGGGGTTTACTATATAGGTGTAAACTAACCTTATGTATACCTATAAATAGGTTTAAAGTGGTGGTTTACTTTTTTATAGTATAAATATAGTGTGGTTTACTATAGACCTATTAGTAGAGTAAATAAAGTAGTTTATAATAGACCTATTAGTAGAGTATATAAAGTAGTTTATAAAAGATAAAATATAAGTATTAGGTATAGTAATAATAGTATTAGATTTTTTTAGTATCCTTATATAAACTACTAGTACGTTGTTGCCTATCCTATCCCTAGGCCTAACCCGCCTAATTAATAGCCTATACCTGCCTAATTAACAGGCCTAAAACTACCTAATTATTAGCCTATACCTGCGTAATTATAAGGCTATCTACTATATACCTTACTTATTTTTAGAAAACTATAGTATAATATAAATTAAATAGGTATACAAGTAGTATAACTACGTAGTAATTAGTGTAAGTTAGTATATCTAATAATAGTCTAGCGTAATATATAGATAATATACTTACCTAATAAATGCTAGTATATTATATAGTAATAGTGTTAGTATAAAGAGCCTAGTACTATAAAGCTAGATATAGACCTATTATCTTACTTAACTATAAGTAGTTAGTCTTAGACTATCTGCGTTTATTAATAATATATAGCTTATTACTAGGTTAAAGTTAAGCGCTATATCTATAGTAAACTATAGCTACTCCTATAAGGTTAATAATTATTATTATTTAAATCTATTTAATACTATTATTATCTTCTATTATCCTCTAAGGTTAGGCTAGTTAGCCTATAGTAGTAGCAGGTTGTATCTATTACTATTAAAGTACTCCTACCTATTTAGAGTTATTAGCTAGATCTTAAAATAAGTATATTACTATCTTAAAGGAGAGCTAAATATAGTTATTATAATTATTTCTAGCAGCGTAATATATAATAAATATAGTACTCTAGGGGTAGTTACTATCTTTATAATTCCCTAAAACCCTAATAATATACCTATTTAGAAGTATATAATAGTTATATATAACTATATCCTAGGCGCGTGTCTATATAGTATACACTATAGTTATAATTATAGTATAAGTATTATCTAGAATATATCCCTAGTGCGTATCTATACTACTATAAGACTTAGATTTTAGATAGTACTCTTATAGCTAAGTTATAATTATATTTTTATTAATATTATACTCTATACTAAGCCTAAGCTATTATATATAGATAATACACTTATATACTAGTATATTCTACTTTAAACTAATATACTTCTAGGAAGGAGAAGTTACTATCTTCTTAATATAACTAATAAGCCTCTCTAAAGACTATTAGGTATAGTATATAGGTAGTCTAAAATCCCTAGTATTAGATATAAGGTAGAGTAGGTAATAGATCTAGATAAAGTAAGATAGTAACTAGTCTACTTTACTATAGTAGTAGAGTAACTTATACTAGTAAATAAAATTCTCTACTAATAGTTATAACTTATTAATCTAGTTAATAGTAAACTCCCTCTAGCTTATATAGAAGAGTAGTTTATAGTAGCGTAGGAAGTTATTAGTATATTCCTTCTAAAGATAGACCTATATAGCTAGCGCTCTATAAGTAAGTATAAAAGTCTGCTATTTAAACAAAGTCTATATCTTGTATATTATAGTGCTTTATAGGGTAGTGCTAACTTAGGTTAGTACTAAGGAATAGGACTTATAAAGACCTTTATTAATTAAAGCCTAATTAGCGTTAGTAATAAGCTATAGTATAGTCTTGTTGTTAAATTTATCCCCTTTCTAGAGTTAGAACAAGGCTTTAGGTATATTATAGGATATTACGTGTATAATATTAATAGGAAAGCTATAAGAAAAGTATATAGTAGGGAGGTCTAATAGGATAAAGTAGTAGTTAATACTAGTATCTTAGTATAAGGTAATATATCTAGAGGCTAGTATATTAGTCTGTTATTTATATATATCTTTAATAGTAGTAGCTAAATTATTATATATAACTAGGTAAAGGGTATCTCTATTTAGGAAAGAGTATTTACTAGTTCTCCCCTTAGTTCCTTTATATAGGTATAGGTAGTAACTCCTTTTTAATATACTAGGCTATTTTATTCTTATAATCTCTACTATAGCTAGCCTATCTCTAGTTATTAGTATAAGGTAGGCGTAAAGGATAAATTCTTCCTAAGTATCTATATTATATATATAAACTCTAACTATAAGTTAGTATAATTCCTCTACTATTAGGTATAGCTAAGTATCTATAAATTTTTTATTAAAAGTACTAGGTATAATAGTAGTAATAAGTGTATTATAGTCTTAATCCTAAATAGATAGGTAAAGGTTTAAGATATATAGCACTACTAGTATAATACTTTATTATTTCTTAGGGTTCTTTACTATACCTACTACGTCTAATATAAGTTATAAAGCTAGATCCCTAGGGTCTTAAAAGTATCCTTTCCTACTATATTCTTAAAACTAGTCCCTATTATACACGTCTTAGTGTAAAGTATATTTGCTAGTAGGGTTAAAAGTTACCTAATACGCTTTTAATTATTATAACTAATAACTATTATTATACTAGATATATAGTTATAGAAGTATAGGGATATATTACTATTAATATTTTAATTTGCCTTTCTTATTATACTAAGCTCTACTATAGGATAGGCACGTATAAGTAGTGTTAAGGTTGCTAGTAAAGGCTACGCACCTATTAGTATAATAATTAATAGATAGAGGAGTTATAGTATCCTAGAATAAGGTATATAGTATATACTACCCCTAGTAGATAGTATTACTAATATTAATATTATAGCATTTCTTTAAAGTTTATTATATCTTTTAGAACTTCTTATATAGAGTACCTATAAATATAGTATATATATTAAGAGAGGTAGTGTAAAGTTATTAAACACGCTCTATTTACTTATAATATAGTATATATCCTATTTGCTATTGCATGTCCCCTAAAAAGTCCTCTAGGTATAGAACCTCTTTATCCTTATCTACAAGTTATATATTATTATTATAGTTATCTATTAGGTCTATACTATTACTAGTAGAATTACTAGTAGAATTATAGGAAGAATTAATATTAAGTACTCCTTATATGTTATTAAGGTATAATAGTTAACTAGTAGGGCGGCTAGTAGTCTATAGTATAGCAGTATCTTTAGTAGTAGTAAAGGGAATATTTTATTTATAGCACCTTCGCTAGTATTATATATACTACTTTTAATTTACCTTATAGTATGCACCTTAGTATAGAGTAAGATAATAATAACACTAGAACTTATTCTATTAACTAGATATTTATAGGTAAGGGGTAGTAATTACCTACTATGTACTATCTATAACAGTTTCTATATTAATATAGCACTTAGGGATATAGATAGTAGATATATAAATATAGATAGTAGTGTCTAATCTAAACTATAGTATGTTCCTTTAATAAGCTATAATATAATTATACTAGTCTTCTAGTATAATAGCTTAGTAGTGTAAACTTACTATTTTGCTATACTAGATAATATAAATATTAGTAAGCTATATATATATTAGTAGAGTTATAAAGTTTTATATTTATTATAGTTACTATAATAAATATATTAGTATAGAAAGTAGACTTTATATTATCTTCTTTTATACTATATAGGTATTCTACTTTATATATCTATATATTCTACTATAAGCAGACGTACTAGATATAGTTTATCTTACTATAAGTTAGACCTAATCTTACCTACTACTTAAAATAATACTATTAAAGATGTAGTATATAACTATAATTATAATAGTTAAGACTACTAGAATAACTATCTAAACTACACCTAATTAAGGAAACTTACTAAGCTTATAAGCTAACTCTTCTAATAAGATAAACTATGCTATAGCAACTTTCTATAACTATCTTATAATAACTAAACCTCTAACCTTATTATTACTATTAGACTTCTATAATAGGATATTCAAGTGTATAGATATATAATTACTTAGAAGACTAATAACTATTTAAGAGTATAGCGTAACACTATACTCCACACCTATATTCTATTCTACTTAGGAGATTTTGTGTTAAAATATATTAGTTCTAGGATAGATAATTAACTTTAATAGATTATTAACTTAAATACTTAGGACTATTACCTTAAAAATAGTATAGAGAAGCATACTAGTCTACGTCTATTATATATCCTATTAGATTGCAAAGAGTGTTATAGCTATATTATAGAACTTACAATATTAAATTAATTAGTTTAGAATAGCTCTTTCCTTAACCTAATTAGATCCTAGAGTTATATTTACTAAGATTATATTTATAAGGATAGGCTAGAGTAACTTAGATAGTATATTATCTATATAAATAGTACTATAATATTAATACTAATATATATCTAATTTAAAAACCTCTAAGTCTAATCCTATATGCTATAGTAATATTATAGTAGTTAGGGAGCTTACTTTACCTTTACTGCATAATCTACCTTGTTAAACTCTACTATTAAGTAGCGACTTAGCGTATCCCTCTATAACCTTAACACCCCTAT